TCTCACTTGTAGCAAGATCAGGAAGTCACGTTCTTTGCCTGTATATTCTTTTTTGCCAGGCATTTTGACAAATGAGCATATGGGATAGCATAATTTTTCCTAGCACTGCTACATGTAACTCTTCAGTTGCAATATCAGAGACCGAAACTGAGATGTTATGCATGGAAGTTATGTAATCATCTTGCTGAATTGTGTCCCTCTAGACCAGTGGATCTCAACCTGGGGATCGGGACCCCTGGAGGGGTCGTGAAGGAGTGTCAGAGGGCTCACCAAAGACCATCAGAAAACACAATATTTTCTGTTGGTCATGGGGGTCTCTGTGTGGGAAGTTTGGCCCAATTCTATCATTGTTGTGGTTCAAATCGCTCCTTGATTGTAGGTGAACTATAAATCCCAGCAAGTACAACTCCCAAATCTCAAGGTCTATTTTCACAAAACCCCATGAGTGTTCACATTTGGGCATACTGAGTATTCATGCCAAGTTTGGTCCAGATCCATCATTGTTGGAGTCTAGAATGCTCTCTGGATATAGGCAAACTTCAACTCCCAAACTCAAGGTCAATGCCCACCAAACCCTTCCAGTATTTTCTATTGGCCATGGGAGTTCTGTGTGCCAAGTTTGGTTCAATTCCATTTGGTGGAGTTCAGAATGCTCTTTGATTAGGTGAACTATAAATCCCAGCAACTACAACTCCCAAATGACAAAATCAATCCCCCCGCCAACCCCACCAGTATTCAAATTTGGGCATACCGGGTATTTGTGCAAAATTTGCTCCAGTGAATGAAAATACATCCTGCAGATCATTATTTACATGGCGATTCATAATGTTAGGGTTATGGTTGGGGGTCACCACAACATGAGGAACTGTATTAAGGGGTTGCGGCATTAGGAAGGTTGAGAACCACTGCTATAAAGCAACGATGTTTTTGGCTTACAATTCCCAGAAGTCCCAGCCAGTTTACCATCTGTTGGGATTTCTGAGAGTTGAAGGCCAAAAACACCTGGGGACCCCAGGTTGAGAACCACTGCTCTAGACCATTAACTGAAAAATAGAAACAGCCTTCTCTATATTATAGACTTCAAAAAATAATAGTGTCCAGAAAAAGTTATGTCTTTACAACATTTTAAGAAAAAAATCCTCAATAAATATATTCAGTAGATGATACAGCATCGTTTAGGAAAGTCATCAAGTATGCATGGATATATGCTACTTGGAATTTCCATCAGGATTTGATTTGAGGTGTTGTAGAAAACTGGTGAGCCGTGTTCAGATCAGGTGCTACCTTCAGCATATACACAGGGCCGATGTCAGGAGGAGGAGAAAGGAAAGTCGTGCTTTCTCACCCTCTAAGGAACAAATCCCTCTGAACAAATCTTGTCCAGAAAATTCTGTGATCGGTCTTTGTGTTGCCATACATTGGAGATGACTTGAAACAAAAATTACACTCGCCCAACTTCATTTACTACCTAGGTTTTTTATACAGTATATTTCACAAAAATTACGTTTGTGCCATCCATTGTGCCATGAGATTTTTCTGGATGCCACTGTGGTTCTCAGAAGTATTTTTCATGATCCTGATGAGATTCTTAGAAGTGCTGTTCACAGTCTTTCAGAGAACTATTGATAGACCACTCTTAACAGCCCACACTTTAGTTGTCCGAATTAAAGAAAAATCTGTAACTTAGAAGCACTGAGCTGCACTGGGCTTGCATAGTGTTTTAATAACAACTTTGCTCTCAGTCAGTATCCTTTTGATACCCTGCTGTGATACAGGTATTGTATAATAGCAATCTATCTAAATAAAAATGTAATGTTCGTTTGTGGGATTAACATAACTCAAAAACCATTGGATGAATTGCCACCAAATTTGGGCACAATATACCTACTACCCCAAGGAGTGACCATCACTCAAAACAATGGATTTTGTCATTTGGGATTTGTAGTTGCTGGGATTTAGAGTTCACCTAAAATCAAAGAGTATTCTGAAGTCCACCAATTATGGAATTGAACCAAACTTGGCACATAGGACTCCCTAAATCAACCAAAAATTCTGGAAGGGTTTGGTAGGCATTGGACTTGAATTTGGGAATTGTAGTTCACCTACATCCAGAGAGCACTGTGAACTCAAACAATATTTATTTATTTTATTTACTTCATTTGTTGACCGCCGCTCTCAGCCCTGGGGCGACTCGCGGCGGTGTACAACATGTAAAAACAGTCTACAAAAACATACAATATATCAATAACCACATTACACATTAATCTAAATCACACTAATAAATCCGCGCCATCACAACATAGAGACATAGCCAAACTCATAATCCATAGTCCGTTCCAGATGTCATTACCAGATTCGTGTAGGTCTCAATTAAATGCCTTCTCGAATAGCCAGGTCTTTAGGCTCTTACGAAAAGCCATAAGGGAGGGCGCCTGTCTGATGTCAACAGGGAGGGTGTTCCACAGCCGGGGGGCCACCACTGAGAAGGCCCTCTCTCTCGTCCCCGCCAGACGTGCCTGTGAGGCGGGCGGGATCGAGAGAAGGGCCTCCCCGGATGATCTCAAGGCCCTCGTGGGCTCATAGGCCGAGATGCGGTCCGAAAGGTATTTTGGGCCGGAACCGTTTAGGGCTTTGTAGGATAACACCAGCACCTTGAATTGGGCCCGGTAGCAGATCGGCAGCCAGTGGAGCTGGGACAACAAGGGCGTTGTGTGCTCCCTGCGTCCCGCTCCCGTTAGTAACATGGCTGCCGCGCGCTGGACTAGCTGAAGCTTCCGGGCCGTCTTCAAGGGCAGCCCCACGTAGAGAGCGTTGCAGTAGTCAAGGCGGGATGTGACCAGAGCGTGTACCACCGTGGCCAAGTCAGACTTCCCAAGATACGGGCGCAGCTGGCGCACGAGCCGAAGCTGTGCAAATGCTCCCTGGTCACCCCTGAAACCTGGGGATCCAGGCTCAAAGATGAATCCAGGGTCACACCCAAGCTGCGAACCTGCGCCTTCAAGGGGAGTGCGACCCCGTCCAGCACAGGCTGTAACCCTATACCCTGTTCGGCCTTGCGACTGACCAGGAGTACCTCTGTCTTGTCTGGATGTAATTTCAGTTTGTTCGCCCTCATCCAGACCATTACAGCGGCCAGGCACCGGTTCAGGACCTCGACAGCCTCCTTAGTAGCAGGTGGAAAGGAGTGACAGAGTTGGACATCATCTGCGTACAGATGACACCGCACCCCGAAACTCCGGATGATCTCACCCAGCGGCTTCATGTAGATATTAAACAGCATGGGGGACAGTATAGAACCCTGTGGAACGCCACAGGTCAAAGGCTGTGGTGTTGAACAGGAGTCCCCCAATAACACCTTCTGTGTACGACCCTCCAGAAATGACTGGAGCCACTGCAGAGCAGTGCCCCCAAGACCCATTTCCGCAAGGCGCCCCAGAAGGATACCGTGGTCGACGGTATCGAAGGCCGCTGAGAGGTCCAGGAGCACCAACAGGGACACACTCCCCCTGTCTAGCTCCCGGCGCAGATCATCCACTAAGGCGACCAAGACTGTGCCGGATCCAGAATATCCGTGTCTCTCAAGAATACCTGGAGTTGTGAGGCCACCACGCTTTCCATGACTTTGCCCAAAAAGGGGAGATTGGAAACAGGCTGAAAGTTGTCAAATTTAGTGGGGTCCAATGATGGTTTCTTCAACAGCGGTTTTATAATTGCTTGTTTTAAGCACGCTGGAATCTTGCCTTCCCGAAGGGAGGCATTAACCACCACCGTTACCCACTCAGCCAATCCCCCTCTGGCCTCTTTCAGAAGCCAGGATGGGCAGGGGTCTAGGATGGACGTGGTAGGCCTCATTCCTCCAAGTATCTTGTCCACATCCTCGGGTTTCACAAACTGAAAAGAATCCATCAAAATAGGACAAGCAGGTGCTCGTGTCACATCCTCAGAGACTGCATTTAACATGGTGTCCAGCTCAGAACGGATCAAAGCGACTTTCTGCAAAGAACCGAGCAAATGCTTCACAGCGCGTGACCGAATTGTCAGGGCTCCCGCCTGAGGTGGCGGGAGTTAAAAGACCTCTGACAATCCGAAACAACTCCGCCGGACGGTTCTTTGCAGAATGAAACAAAATTTGCATACATACTCAGTATGCCCAAATATGAACACTGGTGGAGTTTGGGGAAATAGAATTTGACATTTGGGAGTTGTAGTTGCTGGGATTTATAGTTCACCTACAATCAAAGAGCATTCCGAACCCCACCAACAATAGAATTGGGCCAAACTTCCCATACACAGAACCCATGACCAACAGAAAATACTGTGTTTTCTGGTGTCTTTGGTGACCCTTCTGACACCCCCCGACCCCCCCCCCCCCCCCCCGCCCCCCCCACCCCCCCCCCCCCCCCCCAACCCCCCCCCCCCCCCCCCCCCCCCGCCCCCCCCCCCCCGAGGTCCCAACCCCCAGGTTGAGAAATGCTGCCTTAAGGCCATCCAGTCCCTTCACTAGGGCAAGAAAACGTATTTAAAGCCCTCCTGACAAAGAGCCATCCAGCCATAAATATAGATAAATAATATAGATAGATAATTCACACACACTCATATGTATATGACAGATATAGAATCATAGATTTGAAAGGGACCCCTAAAGAAGAACAACAATATGTTCCAGAGTAGGCAAACTAGACAATCTCTACATCAACCACGACAAAGAAACAACAAAAAATACTGTTTACCCACAAGCATAAAGAAATTACATATATTACAAACCAATACTTTCTCATTACTTTATTTTCCAGATCACTAGACTGGGCCACAGCAATGTGTGGCAGGGGACAGCTAGTGCATTTACTAAAATCAAATATCAGGTTTTTTTTCCTGGATAGTGCTCATTCATTTAGTTCAGGAAATCACATGTCTTAAATTTCTCATTTTTTCAGTACTGTGTAAAAGTGGCCTTGACACATCAAACTTAATTTAGCTCTTAATCTTTCTATTTATTCCAGGATCTGATGAAGAATCTGAAGAAAAACAGGATAGCGAGAAAGCAGTTTTATAGCAGTGCTGCAATAACAGGTAAATTGTATAGTGAAATGAACATTTATGTATTGATAGTAAATAAAACTCCATTAGTATAGCAGCTATAACCTGTTTTTATGGTTTCCTGTCAAGTGCCCTGTTATGCAGTTGGCTTGAAAGTGACTTGCAAATTAGATTGTAGATTGTTAAATGTTTTTGTCATTTCTTTGTTGCTAGAGAAGAGCCAAACTATTGGAACACTGAGCATTTTCTCTGTCCCATTTTGGATGATGTGAGCCTCACTTGCTCTTTGGGTTTTTTAAAGGATTTTTTTCTTGCATGGAAAAGAAATATTGTTTTATGTAGCTATTCTCTTTGCAGTGTGTATGGAAGGGGTTTCTTTGTATCCTATTGTTGAATGGTCTTGTAAAATAATTCTATGGTCAGAGAAAATAGTTGAGTGCTTTAGAGCCATTTCTCCTTCAGTTCAAATGTATGTGTATGGAAACAATTGTTGAGATGTTTATCTTCTACATATTAAATATGTGTTTGTGCCTGTGTGTTTTCAGAGAGAAAACCTGAAAGTAGAGCTGCTCAGGACATGCTGTTTCTGGGACCTTGATAGCGATGCTGTTGGTTCACATTATTGGAACTCATAGTGGGAACTTTATATATTTATTTATTTATTGATGAAGGGGGATGTCCCTGTGCTCTGTAATACCTCGCCAAATCTCTATCACATCTGCATATATATGTGTATATATTGGACTGAATCATGCCTAATATGAAATATGCTCATCTGTAATGTATTCAGTGATGCTTGAAACTGACTTTTAATGATGAGGAGCCCACTGGTGAGTGGTATGCTTGTGAAGCGAACCTATAAATGGAATACTACATGAAGTAATACTGTATCATAAACCTCTGTTTCATGATTTGAATTCACTATATATTGTGTTTGATGTCATTAATTTTACATATTATTTTTAATAATGTATCTTTTTTAAAGATGAATTTAAGCACTCTTTGCAAATTAAAGGAACACATTAATAAAACGTGACAGTGCAGCTTTGTGTGTGAACCCATAACATGCTTCTCTTATATAACACTTTACTCGCTTCTATGCAAGAGCTGGCATTCTCTTAGTGAAGGACATTGCAGAAAGAGACATTCACTGCCTTCCTCACATAATGACTAAAGCTCTCACAGAACTTACCTCCCTCCTGTACATCCCCATAGTGGCTGCATGGTAGGTGGAGTGCAATGTCATGGAAACGGGTCAGAATATGTTCCTGTAGTAAGGTATCAAAATGAAATGCATTCTTCTGAGATTTTGGTTGAAGAAGTCCTCATTGTGGATCGGGTTACAAGCACTCCTTTGGCCACTGAATAGCTATATTGGAGGAGAGTAGAGCTGTATAATTGTTCCTCCTGGGCTGAGCATTACAATATGCCTCCCAATGCTGGATCCTGACCATGATTTTGAAATGGATTCTGCTGATAAATGTGGGGCAGATTTCAGGAGTATGTATGTTTTCAGTGTACACTAATTTACTTGTTTAGAGTTTTTATACTCCACTCTTCAGCCAAAAAGCCTACAGGAGTGGCTTACAAAACGTTCACTTGACACTCCTATATCCTCAGGCTTATAATCATAAGGAAATGGCAGTAGGGAAGGGCATTGACTGGTGGAACCCATTCTTCTTCTCTGCCTCGTGTGACACGTAAATGACATTCGGTACGGAGAGGGAGGCTTTCATCTGCTTCTGGAGCTAAAGCAAAATGGAGTGGTGCCTGATTAACTTCTCTCCATCTAGAGCAGTGGTTTGATCCTCTAGGTGTTTTGGCCTTTAGCTCCCACATTTCCTAACATCTGGTAAGCTGGCTGGGATTTCTAGGAGTTGAAGTCCAAAACAATTGGAGGACCAAATGCTGGGTTTTGTTGTTTTTTTGTTCAGTCACTTCTGACTCTTTGTGCCCCCATGGACCAGCCCATGCCAGAGCTCCCTGTCAGCCGTGGCCACCCCCAGCTTCTTCAAGGATACCATCTATCTGTCTTGCCCTTGGTCTGCCCCTCTTCCTTTTTCCTTCTATTTTTCCTAGCATCGTCTTTTCCAAGCTTTCCTGTCTTCTCATGATGTGGCCAAAGTACTTCATCTTTGCCTCTAATATCCTTCCTTCCAGTGAGCAGCCGGGCTTTATTTCAGGTAGTATGGACTTGTTTGATCTTTTTGCGGTCCAAGACACTCTCAGAATTTTTCTCCAGCACGGTTCAAAAGCATCTGCCTTTCTTTGCTCAGCCTTCCTTATGGTCCAGCTCTCACAACCAAAGGTTACTATGGGGCATACTATTGCTTTAACTATGTGGATCTTCGTTACCAGTGTGATGATTCTACTTGTTGGGAACCACTGTGATAAAAGGTACAGGACTGGTCCAAAAGGCACCTTTTGAGTCTTAACCCCTTCTCTGTTGCTAGCTAATGCCATTAACAATTTTGGGGATGGAACAGAAAAGCACTCCACCATGATTTGGTCCTGCATGGCTATGGTCTTACCTAGTTAGGCTGAAAGTGGGGGTGAATCCAGTCCTCCGGCCATCCCAGAATGAATACCTACAGTTAATTCAATCTGTCATTATGCAAATTAGAAACCCTAACCAACTCGCACTACTGTCTAGTGGTTATGGAGTTCAAAATCTAGAGCAGACCTTTCTAAACCGTTCGTGTTGGTGACATGCTTTTAGCCATATATCTTTTTGTGCCACAGTAATTCAGTTTTACTAGAAAACTGAAGGTTAAACTAGCTATATACATACAATATATGTATTCCACAGTTAGATTAAATGAGGATTATCCTCATCCGTATCTTTATGAAGTTACAGCCTGAAAAATAAGCAAGGTGAAATTATGAAGTGAAGTCACAGTCCTATTCATCTGGGGGACTAATTCATTTCTATTTGTTAACTATCTCATTCAAAGCATTCATACTGTTTTCTGATCCTAATGGGCTTTGGTTATAAACATTATAGCTGCAGAGCAGCAGGTATTTACTGTATTTCTTCAATTCTAAGACACACTTTTTCCCTATATAAACATCTCTAAAGTGTTCATCTTAGAATTGCATCTTACATATTTTTGTTGGTGCTGGTGGTACTAAAGTTAAAGTACATCTTAATCGAAAGCTTCTGACAATGGATGAAATACGGTATTTTTGTGGAAGCCTTTTCCTGTTTGACAGGATTAATAAACACCAAGTTTTGTATGTGTTGAGGAAAAAGACCATTAATTTCTGGAGCCGATCAAAGATTTATTTGCAATGACACAACACTGAAAAACAATAGTTACAGATGATTTCTTGGTACAGGATATATCGTATTTACTTTCAAGGGATTGTTGAAGGTGTGCTGCATAAGTACATATAGTGAAAATATAGTGTTCATTTATCTTTAGAATAGAATTTTGCTTATCCATCCAGTTAAGTTCATAAATAAGATAAAATTAGTATTGTAACACCCTTTATCAGAATTATCTCATCCCTAGCTGTAGCAGTTGGTAATATAGAGGCGACTGAGCCATGCCTTCCTTGGTGTTGTAGCAGCTTTGAGTGTAATTTTGATAACTTCTTTGTCTTGAAATGATAATTTTGCATTACAAACGCAGATGTTACTGATGGTTTGGCAATGGAGCAGCTAATTTCCACTTGGAACAGAATTCTTTAATGTCAGACAATAAGAGCAAATGCCAATATGAACAATACTACATCAAGGATCTAAAATGAATGGGTAAGATATGTGTACTACTGTAGATAATCAGGGGTGAGTAACCTTTTGGCAAATGTGCCACAAACCAAGGCCAAAATCTCATCCCTAGATGTGATCCGCTTTCTAGTGTACTAAGCTGAGTAATGAACTGCAGGCCTGACTATGCTTTGGTCAGGCTTGTGAACCATCCAATTCCTGTCAGGCTTTACCAGACCTCTTGCTATGCCTGTTGTGTGTAGCACATAATGCAGCTGGTTGGCCCCCATATAACCCTTTTGCCACATATATATACACAGTACATGTTCATTTGTTTCTGTGTATGTATATGTGTATATATATCGATAGATATGTATGCTTGAAAAGAACACTGAAAAACATTGCAGAATTTTTTTATAAGACATTGAAATTATAATAGTTTGACCATAGTTCTACAGGATAATTAAATCAAGTCTTCTGCAGTGCAGCAACTCAATACAAGACATTTAGTGCAGACAAGTTAAGGTTCTGGTATTGCGGAGGCTACTCAGATTTGCACAGGAAAGGATCAGGTTACAGGATCACCATAGCTTTGACCAAATACAAACAAATCTGTTGTCACGTACATGTGAACAAATAAGGACATTTCCCCCCCGCATACTGCTTCAGAATATGCTAGCTTTGAATTTCTTGCAATCATGCTCATTTGATATGTGTCACCCATGTTTTTGTCTGGCATCAGTCTAAACCATGATGGCTTGACTCTAAAGGTGGACTCCTGCACATTGGAGAGGTGCAGAATGTCAGGACCGAGCTTCCTACAACACACTTTATACCTTTGAACTGAGAACTACTCCAAACGTCGGATGAAGTTCTCGGGGAACAGTCCTTTATACGAAGTTAGATCTCTGTATTGAAGCCAGTCAGATTCCCTAATGCCTGTTATCCAGCCGGCTTCCTGCATAGTGGAAAGAAAAACAATTTCTGAGTATTTACATGTCTCCTCTGTGTACGAGCCATGTGACCGGTGTGTGTATGCGTGAATGAATACATGTTTTTCAATATCAAATATTACAGTAGGCATCCCATGAAGGACATATGCATGTATACAATTCCCTTACACTTTTTCATGCTTTACTGGACACTGCATTTTGACTTTGCAGCTCCTACAGCTCTCACTATGGCTTCAGCATCACCCCCCCCCCCCCCCCCCCCAACATACACAAAGCTATTCTATGCCTTGTAGGAAAACGGGTGGAATCATAGAAGCCACCGTAGCCACATGTAAAATGATTATAACACTGCTTAGGCTTCCAGACAACATCAGTGGATCTTAGCACAAATATAGTACAGTACTGTGTTTCATTGCATAATAGTCACGACCGCATAATACASGGTGAGGCAGCATAACTTCTTTTTTTWAAAATGCGCACCATTCAGTCGGCTGAAGACATAGCAGAGCGCTAGTGGTCTCGTTCGAGAAACGRGAGTATAAAGTTTTGTCCTGACACAGTTCAGTCACTATCATGCATTGGAACAGTGAGGAGCGTGCTTTTGCTGTTGAGGCCTACTTTTCAAGCGGATTTGGAGTGGCCGGCCCGCTCTCCAGATTTGGCCCCTTGTGATTTTTTTCTATGGGTTTTTTTGAAATCCCGTGTTTATRTGAACCATCCAAGAACCCTACAAGATTTGAAGACCAACATCCAGGAAGAAATTGCCAACATAAYGCCTGTTATGCTGGCAAGAATCATGACAAATRCCAGAAATCGGTTTACTCAGTATATGGAGAATGGGGGACATCACCTACCTAATTTGATCTTCAAAACTACATTTAAAAAAAAAACTTTAGGTATGCGCCTACATTATAAAAAATAAAATAAAAATTCTGATTCATATAATGGGTTTTATTAAGTTTTGAAAAAAGGAAGTTATGCTGCCTCACCTTGTAGTTGTACCCTAATTTGGGAGTTCAAAAATGGATTTTTTTATACTCACATAATCGTCCCTTTCCTCCTCAAAGACAGTTTAAACTAACAGTGAGCCCTCCCCCATCCCTTTAGCCCTCAAAGTTTAGCAGACACCGAGTTTTACTTCCTTCCTCTTCATCTCTGGAGTAAGGTAGTTTTTGTTTTTTAAAACCCCAGAATCTTGCAAAGAGAAGATACAAATTTTATTTCATTGCACAGCAGTCACGCTCTTCTTTTCCCCAACAAAATGAGAGGATTAAAAGTGCAACTATTATGCGATGAAACACGGCACTCTTATTGTGACTTGAGTGTGGGGACACAGCTAGGCAATTCTCACACTGTCTGCTCATTATCAGGTGCGGAATTGCTTCAGAGGCTGTACAGTGACTGCATAAAGCTCAGTTTTCTGTAGGTCCATGGGCAAAACTATCAAGCTAAACTGAGTCATATAGAATTGCAGCCTGTATTTGTCTAGAAGTGATCACTCCATTTTGAAAATAACATTTTACAGCCATTCATATTTATCATCTGTATTCTGAACCAAAACGATGTGCAAATGTTTCCTTCAATAATTTTGGGTAATTTTCAATCAAATATCTGTTTTACTGTTTTAATACATGATGAAGCAAACCCATCTTGTTCTTACTTGATCAGCAGCTGACGATGGGATTACTAATACAGTGTCTCCCCTCTGCAAATTCAGCTCATCGCTGTTGGCTGCCTCAAAATCATGGAGAACTTCAACCTGTGAAGCACAAAAATAATAGCTTGAAACTATGTGACATACTCTTAATGGATACATTTCCTGTCACATTATCACTTGCACACACTCAAAACATGCTGCTCAGATTTTCCTTTCTTTGACATCCACTCCCTGATCAATATGAAACATTACACCACAAAATATGGCCTCCGTGTTGTACAAAATCATCCAACCAAGTGCCATTTACTCTCCTATTTCCAGGCAACAATGGCCAGGTATTCCAACACTTTCTGTGAAGCCATGGGTTCTGTACCGCTGGAGTAGATGCAGAGAAGTTTTACTTAAGCTAGATCTTGATATAACAGGCACAACCTCTGTAGGCAACAGAGGGTGCACCTATACAGTTGAAGTAATGCAGTTTGACCCTACTTTTAATTGCCATAGTTCAATCCAAGTTTGGTGAGGCACCAGCTTTTTTTGGCAGCGAAAACTAAAGACTTTTTAACACTACAGCACCAATGATTCCATAGCATTGAGCCATAGCAGTTCAAGTGGTGTCAAATCACATTAATTCTACAGTATAGATGCCTCCCTTTTCCTGATATTGCAAAACTATTCTGTTTCTTAATTACTACCCTAGAAGTATAAGCATGATATGCGGCTCCCCCCCCCCCCCCCGGGGTGAGGTTATTTTTTTAAAATTATCATTCAGTTAGTCTAATAGCCACCCCAGAAAAATTGAAATGATATGCTGCGTATTCCTTTTATCCCTTCACTTGTAGAGGGCATTCCATACTCCTTGGGAAAAGGCAATGCCCTGCAACTGCAATTGTTCAGTGGGGAGTGTATTTGCAAATGAATGACTGCAAATCGAATGTGTAAGTCGAATTCATATATAAGTTGAGGGCAGGTCTAGGGCCAAAATTACAGGTTTTGATATGACCCATGGATAAGTCCAGGATCATTCTGTGGAGAGGGAAAGTAACAATTCTGCCCATGGCCACCACCACCCTTTCCCTGCCTAGGCATACAAAAAGGTCAAAAGCAGCACCATGGCAGAGAGAGGAGAGGGAGTCTGTGCTTCTTTTAGGTTCACCCAGGATGGACTAAACCCTAACCTTTCACCACTCAGGTCATAGATGGGGTGTTCCTTTTTTTGATAAGAGTTAAGGTGCAGTGCTTACAGTGATACATGGTTTTCTGGGCTGAGGTTTTTTTGTTTGTTTTTTTTACTAAAGTTGCAATCAAAAAATATTTAAAGATAGGTTTACAGTTAACCTTAAAAACTGTGGCGTAGACATCGAAAACTGGGAAGCCCTAGCCCTCAAGTGTTCTAACTGGAGGTCGGCTGTTACCAACATTGCTGAGGAATTTGAAGAGGCACGAATGGAGAGCAAAAGGGAGAAACGTATCAAGAGGAAGGTGTGTCAAGCGAACCCTTATCAACACTGCCTTTCATCTGGAAACCGATGTCCGCACTGTGAAAGAGCATGCGGATCCAGAATAGGTCTCTACAGTCACATATGGACCCACTGCCAAGACCCTATGGTTGGAAAGCAATCATACTCGGCCACTAGTGATAACCTATGATATGATGATGATATTAAATTACCTTGGTTAACATTACACATTTGATTGGTTCCAATGATATACATATATACAAATCTGCATTTTCTATGCCCTTCATGTGGAAGGAATGTAAAGAAAGGTGGATTCAAATTCTTCTTGGCCTATATCTGGGAATGAAGCATCAAATGGAAACAAATGAATACTAAAATACCTTATAGAGGAAGCCGGGTGGCATGCCATCATCTGTTGATGCAGGCTGTTCCTCGGAAGATGCAGGCTGCACATCTTTGTTGCTTTTTGGCTCTTTCACAGCCTCTGATGTTTCGCTAGCTATGCCTTCAGTGCCCTGAGTGCCAGGATCTTCCACAGCATCTTTAGATTCATTCACTAGAACCTCGTGGTCTTCTCCATCCCCTTCATTGTTGGATGCAGGCTCTATGACTACTGAAGGAATGTTGCTGAGGTTTTCCTTGAGAGAAAAAGAAAAATGAGGAAGGAGAGAAAGATCATAGTTTATTCTTATATAGATGCTACTATTCTGTCTGGACCATAGGGAAGGCTGAGTGAAGGAAGATAAATGCTTTTGAACTGTGGTACTGGAGGAAAGTTCTGAGAGTGCCTTGGACTGCGAGAAGATCCAACCAGTCCATACTTCAGGAAATAAAGCCTGACTGCTCATTGGAGGGAAGGATAGTAGAGGCAAAGATGAAGTACTTTGGCCACATCCTGAGAAGAAAGGAAAGCTTAAAGAAGACAATGATGCTGGGGAAAATGGAAGGAAAAAGGAAGAGGGGCCGACCAAGGGCAAGATGGATGGATGGCATCCTTGAAGTGACTGGCTTGACCTTGAAGGAGCTGGGGGTGGTGACGGCCGACAGGGAGCTCTGGCGTGGGCTGATCCATGAGGTCACAAAGAGTCGGAAACGACTGAATGAATGAACAACGAATTCTGTCTTTTAGAGCAGCCAGGTGCTTTTACAAGTTTGATCTCAAAATGTCTGTATCAGACCAAACCAAAAATAGGTTTTTTTCTGTGCTTTCAGAGAAATAAGAGATACAACATATTAAAGATGGCAATAACAAACCAAATGGACTCATTTTAGAGGAAAATGATGGCATGCAATGGAAAAGAGCCACACAAGTAACAAAAATCTGAAAATGACAATGTTTGATCCCTGCTTTCCTCTATTTGCCTGTCTTTTACATAACTAGTTGCTTTTTTATTTCTAGCAGTTCTCTATCACTTCTCAGATCAACTAGCCTAAAAGTAAAGGTTAGGCACATTAATATGGTTAGACGATGCCCATAATTTTCAACATTTGTATCTGTTTCAAATATTCCTGGGTCTGTAATGTCCTCAGAACACCAAATGTTTTTAAGAAAGCTAAATAAGACATACAGAAGAAACTAAAATATTTAAACTTTTGACCATAAGAAATCTTAAACAGCCTTCTGATAATTGAGATCCTAGCTCTGAAATAACTAAATTTAAAACTTAAATATTAGTGAATATTACCAAAATGGTGAAACGCCTAAGGTTGTGGAACGTGTTTTTGATCAAATATACTACAGATTCAACAATAATTCCTTTTCATGGTGTTCTCAAAGAGAATTTTCAGTACCATACCAAGAAACTGGGTTGTTTGGGACAAGCAACCAGACAAAATGATAGGAAACTGATAGTGGAGCTTTCTAAAATACATAGAACTATAAGTCCTATTTTTTTAAAAAAGGGAAGAAAAGTTTGGTAGTGACTTTACCTGAGATTCTTCTGCCTTTTCTTCAATGGAAGGTATGTCACTTTCCTGAACACCAGTTGCAGCAATATCAGCAACCTTGCCACCTTCTATTACAGGAGTTACATCAACGCCCTCCGGTTCAGCAGCATCTTCAACCACAGAATCCATCTGTAACTGATACAAATAAAAAAAACCACCCTATTCATATACATCTTGGATGTGTCAACAGGGTAAATATGATTTACAAAGCCAAGTGAGTCAGGCAGATAAACAGCAAGTGCTGGAGAGCAAAGAGAGGTGGCAAAGGGTTGGTGGACGAAGCTGTGTTTGCCAAGGGTTTCTCTCAACTTCCTAAGCTAGCTCCACCATAAAGTATATTGGTGGACATTGTTCTATTGTGAGTACTGAAAATTTATGTCTATATGGATACCTTATTAGTTGGCCCTGAACCTCGGTGGCAATCCCTGATTAAACTGTCCTAGTATATGGATCTCTACTTGTGCTAGATAACCAACACTCAGGAAAGTGCACAAAAGGAAGCCCTTAACACACATCAGTGCTCTGTGGTTTGTGTCATTCTTCACTATTTGGACCTCAAAGTGGATCCAGGATTTCCCATGTAATCATCTACAGCAAATCCACTTTCTTCAATACTGGTTTGAAACTGACTTGAGTGCACAGTGTAGATCAGTAGTTCTCAACCTGGGGTCCCCAGATGTTTTTTGCCTTCAACTCCCAGAAATCCTAACAGCTGGTAAACGGGCTGGGATTTCTGGGAGTTGTAGGCCAAAACACCTGGGGACCCACAGGTTGAGAACCACTGGTGTAGATATTTATCATGTCAGAAGCGAATTGAGACTATAGTTATAGAAAAATCACAAAGTTAAAAACTTGGCATTATACTAAAATTCTTTAACCAGAAGCTGGCCACTTTTAGTGCCTCTAGTGTCGCTGTAAGAAGGTCCTCCATTGTGCATGTGGCAGGGCTTGTGGTAGTGTAGATGTACCCCTATTAGTGCCACTTCTTCTGCTTTGCAGCAGATAAACTCGTGCAAATTTAGATGCCAATTTGCATAACATAAGAGTTGCATAACAAACAGAAATCAGGGGCATAGCCAGCCAAAGTGAAACACTCTTCCCAAGACAGGTAAACATATATTGTTAATGTTTTCTTCTGTTGAAATCAATGTGACTCTGAATGTGTCTCTCACCTTGCATGAGATAGTGCTGCAAACGGACAATACTGCAATTGTAAACTTTCTCAAAAACATCAGACAATGCTTCCTACTGTGCATATGGAGATGTTTGTACATACCTCACACTCTTTCTCATCATGTCCTGGTGTCTCCTTATCCCCTGATTCTACAGCATCCTTCATAAAAGCAGAAATATGGTTATAACACTGATGTCAAGGGTTTTATTAGAGAAATAACAATATTGCTATGATGTATTGTTAACTACATGAAAATGTGGAAAAGCATAAAAAGCACATAGAATGATTAGATGATGTTGGCTGGCATGATTCTCTTGGAAACCTATCAGGCCAGAAACAAAAGATGGAAAGAGAACATGCAAAAACCAACAACTTATTTATTTTAATAATGATGATGGTAAATGGTGAAGCAAAGAAACTTAAAATCTTTGCTCAGGTTGCCTATCTGCATACCAATATGCAAAAAATGAGAAGGTTTGTCTCTACTCTTCAACTCAACATGACAATCAGTTGTTTATTATAAACAGCAATGTGTACAAATTTGAAATACTCATTCAGTGCACAGATGGGTAAAATTAACAACAGTTAAAAATTGCTTAAAACACAAGTTGGATAAAAACACAAGTTGGATAAAAATTGGGAATTGTCTAATCTGTGTGCCCAAGCAACTGGTTGTTCTTTGTTCTTAATTCTCATTGCCTCATTACCTTAAGGCTGAAACACGCCGACACTTTGTATAGCTTTTTATCCTTGTTTTTAGCCAATCATGTATTGTAAGCAGCTTTTACTATTTGCAATTTTATCCACTGGATGTTCTTAATCTCATTACCTGTACAACTTGTATGCTACAGTGTAATTAAGGGTCTCTGGACCAAAATAAAATTTATCTAGCTATCTGTCTATCATTCAGCGCCTAGAGACTAACAGTTAAAAACTTAACATAATTTGAAGATGAGGCCCTAGTCATTTTTCTAGTGTTCCATCTTTATTGTATCCAATTTTTATTATCAGTATTTTTTCCTTCAAAACATATAGTCTACTCTTGTTTGCTTCAAAACCACGTTAGGAGAAGTCAACTGCGGACAGCATATTTGTTGCTATGGAAACATCTCATAGCCTTATCTTGTTCAAATTAGTGTTATATAACACCTTCCTTTTCTAATCAATTGCCTTTTGACTTAATTGCACTACTTCAGTGAGAAGTCATCTGTAGACTCTTCCTGTAGCATTACATTAGTGCTGAGTTTCTCAAACATTTCCAAGTGCTCCACGAAAAGGTAAGGATTTTTAAAAATTAAAATTATTATTAGAAATAAATGGAGGGTAAATCTCAATATAGTGGGAGTTTTTTGTGCAAATGAGCGGCATGTAAAAAAGTATTGACTAGATAATATATTTAGCACCTTCCGTGTGAAAAACAAACTATAGACTACAGTTTGCCAGTCGGCTCCTGGGAACCAAAATATCTGAAAGATATACAATGCATTCAGACAATGGTACCACTGCTGGACAAGACAGAAGCCAGACTCATTGTGTCCAAGGCTAATATAAAATACAGTATATTTCTATGAGGTGAAATGTACTCCTCCACCTTGAATTTCACATTTCGAAGGTTCTCCATAACTGAAAAGGTGTGAGAACCCCTGCAATAGTGTAATGGGTAGTTATGATAGTGGATCTTCCTTTCCCAGTGTTGTGTGAGGTGTCTTAGCACCAACCTTATGTAACCATTTTTCTAGGAAGCACAATAGGTGCTGGAGAGCATCTGGGCACAGCTATACCTCACCAGAAATAAACAGCCATTGACCGGCCATTGGGGAACACTGGGAAAACAAGCTGACATCCCTGCCTAGTTGTTTTCATTTGCCTTTGCCAGTGCATGGACTTCCATCGACGTATACTGGTGTATCTTTACTACATCAGTTTCAAAATTGACCTTGGGCCTTCTTCCCATTAAAGGACCAAAAAGTGCATGTCTTACAATTCAAAGCAAGAGTTGCCAAACCTACTTTTGTTTAATGAAGATTCCAACTTTTGGCATTTCCTGACTGATTTTGAATATTTCTGTCTAAGGCTGTGGAGAGGTGCTCTCAGTTGACACAGCTACTTTTTTGCCCAAATACCTCTCTCCACATCTTTGTGATAGTCACAGAGGTTGTTTCCCTTCCCCCCAAGTCATTTTGAATCCAGATGAGATTTTTAAAAAAATAACAGGAAGTTGCCCAGTTGCTGGCCCCTATGACCCCACATGACTGGCACAAAAGTACGTACAGACTACACAATTATACAGAACCACTCTGTGAATTACTCCTTCCTAGCTCCGTTTCACTGGTTGCAGCTTGTGCAAATGGGGAAACTCATACCACAGCAGTATCACATCACAACTTTCACTAACGAAGAAACGATTGAGAGATAAACGGCAATTGCTTTGGATATCAGTCATTAAAAGATTCAGCTTCTCTTTTTTGCATGTGTACTTGCTATTGTCAATTTAAACTAACAAAATGTCCAGGGGTATCAGACTGTTTCAGAAAGCATTCACTCTACCACAGAAAGCATACATTTAGTGAAATTGACTTTCTTTTTATGATAAAGTTACAATAAGATTCTGCATGAAATTTGTTACTAGCTTTCTGATGCTAATTATGGAGCAGTGGGGAAGACCATTTGATTTAATTCACAGTGACAGGAGAGCAGTACAGTGGAGACTGCTGGAAGCCAGTAGTCTTGTTTAGAGTAAATATCACAGAAGTTGTGAAATCAGCAGGGAATTAAATGGCTCTTCTAACCCAACTGTTTGTGCATAAGCAGCATCACCTAGACTTTAACTCTCCACAAAAAATGTTGGTTCAATCTCTTTTCTACTGCATGAGAAGAAATGAAATTGTTTCAAGACTCATCTCGTACAATCAGTAAATTTCAATTCAGATTAGTGACTTCATAGACCATTTTGGTCGTGCATGGGGTTCCTTGTTTTCACCCTTATATATTTTTTTCTCCAAAAGAGCAAATTGTGTCCCTACAGGATCTGGATAGGCAATTGGTTACATTTCTCTCCAATCTATTTTAGATGTATGGAAGGAGAGGGTTTTTTTAGAACTGGAGACAATTCCCCAGTTAATTCCAGTTTTAAAGGTACTATAGGAACTACTTCTGTGTAGACCCCTAAGGAACAAATGGCTTGCTTCCATATTATAAGACAATCATATTCCCATAAATTGTCAATTTAAACTACAAAGCCCTAAACGGTTTGGGACCCGCCTACCTTCGTGACCGCATCTCCGTATATGAACCCACATGATCTCTCCGATCATCTGGAGAGGCCCTGCTCACGATCCCACCTGCGTCGCAAGCGCGATTGGTGGGGACGAGGGACAGGGCCTTCTCCGTGGTGGCCCCCCAACTCTGGAACTCTCTCTCCAAGGACATCAGACAAGCCCCAACATTGGCAGTCTTTAGGAAGAGCTTGAAAATGTGGTTGTTCCAGTGTGCCTTCCCAGAATAGGAAACTCCGAGCATCATGTCCCAAAGGCACTTTACTAGAGATTTAAGATTGTTTGCACATTGCACCTATCTCAAAAAACCTATCTATTTCACCTGCCATGCCCAGCATTTTAATATTTTTAATCATTACATTGGCCCAGCCTTAATTTTAAATGTGTCATGGTGTTACTGTCTAATGTTATTTGTTATTGTTTTAATGTTTATTGCTGTTTTATGAGTTATTTTGTTGTATTTGTGATGTTGTTGTTTTTGTTGTGTTGGGCCTCGGCCTCTTGTAAGCCGCACCGAGTCCTTCGGGAGATGTTAGCGGGGTACAAATAAAGGTTTATTATTATTATTATTATTATTATTATTATTATTATTATTATTATTATAAATCCAACAGTGAGAAAATTTATTGTTAGGAATGGCTTATACTTTAGTCTTACTTAATAATGCACAAATGCTTTAAACCCAAGTGCTGGTATGACAGCTCCCAGAATCATTCAGGGAGTAAGGGTAGTGGCCATGTTAAGAAATGGATTCTGGGTCATCAAAATAATGGTTCCACAACCTGCTTTCAAAAGTGCAACTCCTGTAGTGAATGTGCCATTTGCCAAGACACAGCTTTTGCATTTACCAATTCTAAGAATCTATGATGATGAAGATGGAAAAGGCAAATAAAAAGTGATATGCTTGTTGATGATAAAACCAACTGGATGAGTGTGTGGGCACACAAAGTACCAGTCACTCACCACAGTGTCAGCTGCTGGCTCACCAGCAGCCTCTGCCGGCTGTGCTTCTGGCTCAACAGTAGTGTCAACCGTTTCAGGTGCCCCCGGGGCTTCCTCTGCTTGGACCTCTAAAGATGGTGCCTCTTCTGTATCAGCCTTTAGCCATTGTGTTTATTATTGGTTTTGTAAAGGTAGACAAATAAAACCCATTGAAGAATGCTAGAAATTGAGAGGCTAAAGTTTGGGCAAAGTTCAGAAGCATAGGAAGGGGAAGTACAGGCTATTCTTCTCTTGTTTTCTCTTGGAACATCTTGGATAGCTCTTATAATGCAAATGGCACCGAAAGCAGTTTTCAATAGGCACAGAGTTTAGGCAGCAAGTACTGCACAACTGAATGCAGAATTTTCATATCTTCAGTTCAACACCTTGCAGAACATTTGTTATCAAAATTAAATCCCACTAGCTAACCCTGCATAAATGGCTGAAAAAACTGTTACTCCTTTGCAACGTTGTAAAACATCACTGACTGGGATCTTGTGGATATACTTGGATATTTTAACTACCATATATAAATTAGTGTTGCTGTATGAATTGTGCATTTTCTTCTTTCAACAAAGAACCTACCAAGCCTCCTTCCCCAACCCAAGAGAAAAAATGCTTGATGCGGGAACTTTCATATTCCACAATGGGGCATGGGGTGATACAAAGAGTACAAGTCATTGAAATAGAAGTCTTCAGGAAAAACAGGGAAGAAAAAACAATAACTTACCATGTTATCCACCACATTCTGACTTGGTTGCATTGAGAATAGGGAAGTATCCTAGGGAAGAATAAAATGAAAAAGGATGCACACAAATATAGAAATAAATTTATGTATAGCACCGCGCATTCATTAATGTATTATCAAAGGTTTTCATGGCTGGAATCATTGGACTGTTGTAGGTTTTTCGGGCTGTATGGCCATGTTTTAGAAGCATTCTCTCCTGACATTTCACCTGCATCTGTGGGAAGAGGTTGTGAGGTTTGATGCTTTCATTTATATCTACTTTTATATCTACTTTTCTACTTGGAGGCCTCTAAAGAAGCATACAACTGTTTTCGTTGATCCATTTATATAATTTAGTACCTTACATCAGTTGTTTTCAAACTAAATCGTAGAATTTTATCAGACTGCTATGATGTCGGTTCCTTATGATACTATGCAGCAATCTGTTAGTTCTCACTGAATTGAGTGGATTTCGATTATTTATTCTAGGGAGCTTTTGGCATAGCATTTCTTATAGAAGAAGCCCAGACAACCACATCAGCCAGTCTGTACTTTCCCTGCGACCAAATGTAGTGCCTTATAATGCAAAGTTTTGTTTAAAATGATGTGTGTTATGTCATTAAATTTTGAAAAATTTGAGTAGCATTATCTAAACATTTTCAATGCCAACACAAGAGTGTTAATTAATGGTTATTGTATTAATTGTTCATGTAACGGCATCGAATTGCTGCCTATGTAAGCTGTCCTGAGTCCCCCTTTTGGGTTAGAGAAGAGACGGGATATAAATACCAGAAATAAATAAATAAATAAATAATTGAAAAGCTATGTACAGTTCAGCTCTTTCTGAGCAGGTTAATGGAATTCTGAGATATATACTCAATTTGAAGTATGGTATGTTTGTGAAACAATGTAAAATGTTTACATGCCATTTATAGTAAATGTTTAAATTATCATCCTTTGCTGATCAAAGCATGATTCTTGCTTTTACTCAAGATCTGCTGTTGGCTTTGATTAACACAGAATTGTAAACATACTAAATGCTGCTAAAAAGCTGTCCTAAAATGGACAGCTCTCAAAGGTGGGGAGAATATTTTAAAAACAACCAAAAATGAGACTCCATTTAATCAGAGGGGACAAACTCTTGCTCAACAAGAAAGCTCAAATTTCAAAATGAATTTCTTCTTTATCAAACTGGATGACCAAACTCCTGCTAATTAAAGTTCATACCTCAAGGAAGGAGTTAAAAGAGATGAAGATGTGAAATTCCTGTGTTTCAAAGTGTGCTGTAATCCAAATGGTCATTCAAACAGGAAAAGAAAATACCCATTTAAACTTATATTTGCATTAATACTACAAAATATGACATGGAATTTAGGACATGGTAAGAAAAAAAACACATATCTTTTACACCGTTGCCCCACAGATTTTAACCATGACCTGCATTCTGGGAAAGATGGGTGCATTCAGACCAATTTAAAAGAACAGAAAATCCCAGCTTTTGTTCTATTTCTTTCTGATTGTATGTGGGAGATCCATACACCTTTTGTTCATCCCAGAATATGTTTTATTTAGCCCATGGTACAATCAGAGACTTTTTGTACCAGATCCCCCAGTTGGTTAAACCCCAATTAAAATTATAAAAAAACATGAAGAAAAGCTGGGATGTTTCAATCAGTCTGGATGTGCTCAACCTCTTACAGATTTAAAACGAGCCCTTACCTGTGAGAATCCATTAAAAGCACTGCCGGGTACCTAATTAAAATGAGAAATCAGAACAAAAATCTTTTTAAACAAAATCTTAATATCACAATACTGGTTGCACATTGCAAAAATGCACTTTTAAAAAACCCAAAATGATTTTAAAAAATAAAAGGAAAAGTGATATTTCTGTCAAGCATTATGGCATTACTGATTATCTCTTTAGATGGTTTTTAAAAAAGAAAAAAGGAATAATGAAACACATTACAGTCAGAAAAAGACAGGAGGCACACATATTGTGTTAGAAATCAGGAAAAAACACAGTGGGAAGAATCAAATGGTGAATTCAACAGCCAACCTCTTTGTGGCCAATGTATATACGGTTGAACTGTACTCAGTTTGGCATTTTGGTGTGATCACTAAAGTTAGCAAAAGGGGACAGGGAGGAGTACATAGAAAAAGACACTTCATAAAACACACAAGGTTATATATATATAGGTATATATGACCTAAGGAATTCTCATTTCTAGACTATGCTACACACTGGGGTAGGTACCTCTTCTTTATCAGCCTCTATTTCCTGGTACAACAATCCATATCTCCGGTTAGCAATTTCATCTTCAGATAAATCTGAGCTGTTGGTCTCATTGTCTTTGGGGCTAGCAGAGCTCTCAGTGCTAGCATTTCTGGAATTTCCCATTTTGAAGAGCACCAGCGGTCTGCCTATCTCCTTGTTTGGTCCAAAGCCGCTAATATTTGCCTGCTCCCCAGATGATTCCTGCCTTAAAGGCGCCTCCTGATTCTGATGGCTTGGCGTTATACCCATAGCTTCCCAGCTGTTATCTAAACCTCCCATGTCTTCTGTACACCATTTTTCATTAAAACTAGGCCAGGGGTTCTCCATGTTTCCATCCACAGAGTCTTCTGTGGGAGGAAAGGGCCAGTTGTCATTTCCATTTACTTGGTTAGAAAAACCCCAGGAATCATTAACTGTTGGATCCCAGTTGGTTTGCCAAGGATCTGTTTGTAATACTTCAGGAAAACTAAAGCTAGTATCGAGTTCTTCAGCCATGAAAGATTCTTCCCCATCTACAAATGTATCTTCCTTATTACCTAGCCAAGAATGACTTAGATTTGCATTAGCTGTCTGAGAACTAGGCTCCAGGACAATATCCTTTTCAAAGGGTATAAAAGTTGCTTGGCATTCACCAGCAAAATTGCTGCTTTCAGAAAGGCCGTGGCTATGGTCTTCAATCTCTTTATCAGGCTCTTCTGCACCACGTAACTCCTCACCACACACAGGGTTTTCAACCTCTCCAGTTGCTTTCTGACTGACATCTACATTAGCCAATCCTGTAAGATTTGCCATTTCATTTTCCTGGGCAGAACTGATGGCCACATTTCCAGCGGTAGGTAAGTCATTTGCACATACTGTTCCATTATCCTGACTCCAGAAACCTAACCCTTCCTCTGTTTCAGATCTACATTCTATAGTTGCACAGTCACTCACCTCACACCCCAATCCTATATTCACTACATCCTCAGCATCTGGTTTATTTTCTTTCTGTATCACAGCAACTTCATTAAATTCTGGGCCAAAATCAGGAAAGTAACTGACAGCAGTTGTCTCTGGTTGCTTATTATTATGTTGGAAATCCCTTGCAGCTTCTACCTCAGTGCTTTTTAGGATTTCATGGTCTGTCTTTGCTAAGGCCTCACAACGATCTACTTCAGTGTAGCTTTCATTGTCCCAATCTCTCTCTTGAAACTTCTCTGTGCAGTCTACCTCCCTGCACTTAACATCTACCTTTTCATATGGTTCCACATTTGCCCACAAAGACTCTTCTGTTTCCTGTTTATCTTCTTCTGTCTTTTCCATACTAAATGGGTCTCCATCGAAAAAGCTATCAGTTCCCATTGCAGGCCTTTCGGCCAAAGTTTCATCCATTAAAGGCTCGTTTGTCTCCACCAAATCTGTGTCACTGTCCATAATGTGGCCTGAGTCCTGGTATGGTTCCGGGAAATTGGTTTCACTTTCATCTAGAGAGGCTGTCCAAGTGACACCATCCTCTTGCTGGCCCACTGCAGACCAAGTCGTAGTTGCCAGTGCAACAGACGATTCTGTTGAGGTTTGCTCTGCCTCAGGGAAAGGACCACCACCTGCATCCTTTTCCTGCTTCTCACTGGCTGTACTACTATCTAGGTCCAAGTTGAGTGAACCTAGATCAGTTTGGGATTTATTAAAATCTTCTGATGACCCACTGTTGGGGTTTTCCTCCATGACCAGGTTACACAGGGAAAGACTTTTTGAAGAATCGGGCTTTAGCAGACAGGAAAGTAAAGAAAAAAACAAGATGAAAAAGATAAAGATGGTCTGGATGATAAACACACACAATTTAATATCTTAAATATGTGACTAAATTCAGGAATTAACCACAACTACAACACTTGAGGGAATCATGTACATCTAAGAGACAGTACTTATCTATCTAAAGAGTTTGACAGTGAAATAGAAATGGTCTGCTTACCGGCTGCACCAGTTCATTGCTTGTCTGTATGGAGATAAATCATATTAATAACTTTTAAAAGATTATATTGGGGATTGAGAGATGGTATCACACAACTAAAAGCAAACTGTAGCTGAAATCATTTATAGTTTCAAGCAGTGTAAGAGTTCCACATGCTTCTGAACTCTGCTATGACTCCCCTGTCACCCGGTATCTTCCCCTATGAACCATCTTGGAGATTGAGATCCTCTGGAGAGGCCCTGCTCTCAGTCCCACTTCCTTCGCAGGCACAGTTGGTGGGGACAAGAGACTGGCCTTTTCAGTGGTGGCACCTCAGCTATGGAACTCCCTCCCTAGTGGTATTAGATCAGCCCCTTCCCTCCTGACTTTCAGGAAAAAGGTGAAAACGTGACTTTGTGACCAAGCCTTTGGCAACTAATACAGTGCAATACATGACTTGGATTTATGTGTAACAATCACTGGAATGGCCAGACCTTGATTGCGGATAATGAAATTTTATAGCTGTAAGTGTATTGTTTATGTTTGAATTGCTTTTAGCCTCATTTAGATTTTTAACTAATGTTATTTAATTGCTGAATTGTTTAAGGCATTTGAATTTCGTCTCTACTACGAGCTGCCTTCGGGGTCGAGAAGGATGGGATATAAATATAGTAAATGAAATTTTAAAAATTAAAATCCCCAGGACTCACAGTGTCACTTCAATACCCCCTCCCAACAATCGTTCTGTGACTGGTGAGAGGAAGGGGGATGGATAGCTGGCTATGTTCTCACAGTCAGATGATATAGTCCAAGGACATCATCTGCCAAAATCTAACAGTTCTCTGGAGGTCACAGAATATGTCATCCCACTGCTTTTGGCTATGGAGGATGGAAGGGATCAAAGAAGCATCTGGAGCATAGCCAGAGGTTTCTCTAATTACCCCCACTTCCACCAGGAACAGCATGGCACAGGTAGGGTTGTACCACAGCAAGATGGAGAGTACTTGGTTTGTTTTGGTCATTACAAAAAGGAACTAAGGGAGTATCAACCTTCACAGAGACCAAGAATAAACATACACAGCTTAAGGTGGAATTCTACTTCACATGTCACTAACAGGATGCCAGACAAATAAATAGCAAAGCAAAGGCTTTTAAAGTACCAAGAAACCCAACATTTTTTCACCTAAACAAGTCAGGGATTTGAAACTGAAGACCTCACTTATTTCTTGAGACAGACAATATTTTTAAAGAGTTATAAAAGCATGTAGATACACAGATATAGAGGCAGCCTTCATCTCAGTTTTGAAACAACACTAAATCCAATGAAATCTGTTTTCTAAATATGAATATAGAATGAGAAACCATTAGAACCAATTTTTGAGGTTGTAAGCCTACAGGATTCCTTGAAATAAGTCCCTCTAATGTGTTGTGATGTCGGAGTTCTGAAAATCACAACCATTCCTTATAAGAAGTAGCAACAAATATTTGTCTCTTTCTAGAGGGTCTTGTAAGGAAAAAGAAGTAAATATGTAATCACAGACATCTCTGCATATAAGACATCTCACGAACTTTAAACATCAGTAATTTAGTTGACGTCAATGGGGTTACTGTAGATATGGCTAAGTTTGGATCCAGCGATATGTTTGTCTGCACCCAGCTCCAGCATGTCTTCCACCCAAAAAACATTAAGAATTGTGCTCTTAGGTGACCAACTGACTGTCTTGATATCTCTAATGACACCTACCCTCAAACTTGTCTCCTCTCTGAATTTGGCCACAATTCTGAATTTTTTCTTTTCTTGGTCATCACCTTTTATTACTCCTGCTGTTCACAGGTGTTATCTTCATTCTGCCAGAGACAACTGATTCTCATTCCTAGTCTATTTTTGTCCTTGAGTTCTTCAGCGCCTATTTATCTTCTCTGCCAGTTTGATCAGACCTTGAGACACCCTCAAAGACTTTGCAGGGTGCCTATTATAAAGCTGGCTCCTACTGGCATTACAGAGGACATGCTGGACATATGGCTAAAAATGGATTGAGTTGCTCTGAAAGTCCTTTCTGGAAAAGTGGGGGACCAAGGCTAATGAGACAGATTGACCCAAATTATAACTAACCCAATGCATTTGCATTTGTTCCTTTCGTTTTTAATAGTGCTTTAATATCCTTATAAACAAGCAGTTTGACAATAACCAATGTCAATGTTTGTATTGTAAAATCTGCAAATTAAAATTTAAGAACAAGATTTCCAGTTATCATTTTACCAATGCGGATCACTCTGAAAACAAAGTTAATGAAAGACATTCAAAACCATTAATGAGACAGAATACTGAAATTAATGAAATAGCGTGGAATGCATACTGATGTCTTACATTGCCAGTAAAATTATGACTTGCCAGATTCAAAATACAATACAGCAATGTTTATGTGATGGGATTTCAAAGCTTTTTGCAAAAATATGCACACAGAAAACATCCCAGTCTTTATTTGGTACAAACCCCAGAATTGTATTTGTTTCCAGTCTTTGTGTTTATCTTGCCTCTTCCTCCCTCCATTGGTAAAATCTAGACTGAAAGCTTTTGGGGGCTTTCAGCCTAGTCTGAGGAAACTGAACTTTCCCCCTTAAAGTGTTCTGTAGAACATCTATGATATTAATGATACTACAGAAAATAAAACAAGGCAGCATGCAAAGGTCAAGACACCTTACCGTCCATAAATCCCAGGGTAGCGTCTGAGCAGAGAGGAAAGAAGGATAGGGTTGAAAACCTCATTTGTACACTCTTTTATGTGCTGCAAAGTATAATTAAACAGCATGATTATTCATGTGTGCTCAACAAAGCATGGTTTAGCATTCTTTTATGGGCTGAGGCAGTGTATAGACTATTTCATAAATCTCTGTTTGCTTGATATGTGACGCTCAAAGCGCTATAAACAAACAGATACTGAATCAATTCTTTAGGCAAAACCCTCTGTGATGTTCACCTTCATATGTCTGATGGAAATATCCAAGAACAGTTCAAGAAAATTGACTGTAACAGCAATACTCAGCACTGTTTCATCTATTATATTTTGGAAGTGTGAACCAATATATTAAAATGTTCGGACAGGAATACTTTATCTGGAGTTATCACCTGGTCTATATTTTCTTGCTAGGGTAAAACATCTTTTGCCCATTCAAGGACTTCAATGCCACGCTATCAATCCTGTATTAAACTTATAGCAGCTTTACAAAAATCCAGAATTCAGTGAAATGATCAGCAGCCAACTAGAAAGATCTGATTTGAAAGATCCAGCCCCAAACTACTGTTCAGCACTTTGTATGATGGGAAAACATAGTAGCCTTCAATATTCTTCTCTCCATTGCTCAGATAACACAGTTGAGGCCATTAGGAAGCCTACTGGACATATCTGGAACCAAGGAGGAAGGTCCAGATAGTAGGCAGGAAGAGAAACTAGTGGTGTCAAACTCATTTTCCCCACAGGCCACATCAGCCTTATGGTTGTCTTCAAAGAGCCATTTGTAATTATAAGACTGCATAAATGTAACTATGCCTTAATATATTGTTAAATAACCAGAAACACCATATGACACACCATCTTCATCCATTGATTGTGTTCTGAAAATAACAACAAACACAAAACAAAATGCAAGCGTCACTATTCAAGTGTATTCTAATTCAGGTTTTTTTAAAATGGGTTGCTGCAAGTTTTTCAGGCTGTATGGCCATGTTCCAGAAGCATTTTTTCCTGACCTTTTGCCTGCATCTATGGCATGAATTGTGTCATAATGCAGCATCAATTATGGTGTATCTAGTGTACTGCACATTTTTAAATAGCCCCGAAAGTACCTGAGACATTGGTGAAGGGGCCGCCACCGCTGGTGCAGCATCAGGTCTGAAAGGATCAAAGTCCAGATCTAACAAAGACTCTTCTTTTTTAGGTTCGAGAATTTCATTCTGTCAAAAGAAACACCAATTAATTATAATCTCTTTGAAAAATAATACGTAAATGGCTTTTTTCAAATTTCTCAGTTTACTGCATTTAAAGTTTTTCATTGTACGATATCAAAGCAACATGCGTTCATGTTGCCTGCTGACTTATGACACCCCATTAATTTCCTAGAGTTTTCTTAAGTAATGAACATTCAATAATACCAGTTCTTACAGTATCTCGTATTCCAAGTACTAGCCAGCACTAATGCTGTTTAGCTTTCAATATCTGATGGGATTCTATGCCTTGAGGGGATTTAGGCTTACGCACAATATACACCACAGATAAAAATAACTGAAATTATGAGAAACCAATCTAAAGTAGTATCCAATACTGCCATTCATCTCGCATACTCCACTATAGCTCTCTGCTAATGTAAGGCAGAGGAAGATGATTTCCCTCAATTCTCCTTATTTAGACCAGGGGTTAGGAATCTTGTAGCCTTCCAGATGTTGCAGAATCCAAGCTGCCTAAGATGCATATCCAATGATAAATGGGCCATCCAACCCCCTGCCAAGCAGGAACATCCAATCAAACACTCCTGACAGGTGGCTATCCAGGCTCTGCTTAAAAATCTCCACAGAAGGAGACTCCACCACACTCCATGGCAGCATGTTAAACTGCTCTGACAGTCAGGAAGTTCTTCCTAAAGTATAGGTGGAATCTCTTTTGGGTTTTCAGTTTTCAGTGGATCAAAAGTCCCTTTGTAAGAATAGTAGCCTTCAATTCTACCCAGAGAACAGAAGTACATTAGCATATTAAGCTATAAAGGTAAAGATTTTCCCCTGACATTAAGTCCAGTCGTGTCCGACTCTGGTGGTTGGTGCTCATCTCCATTTCTAAGCCGAAGAGCTGGCATTGTCAGTACACACTTCCAAAGTCATGTGGCCAGCATGACTACATGGAGCGCCGTTACCTTACCACCGGAGCGGTACCTATTGATCTACTCACATTTGCATGTTTTCGAACTGCTAAGTTGGCAGAAGCTCGGGCTGACAGCGGAACCTCATGCCAGTCCCCGGATTTGAACCTGCAACCTTTCGGTCAACAAGCTGAGCGGATCATTGGTTTAACCTACTGCGCCACTAGGGGCTCCTATATTACGCTATAATTAATATATTTTCTAAACAAACTTTACAACAAACTTGGGAAAATTATTTAAGATATAGCTTTTACAATCCCCTCAGCGGCATGAATGACAATAATCCAAAAATATTTTCAACTCTGTATATATTTTTTCTCAATACTAATTCAGCAACTGCTCAATGATAAATGTTTTGATATTCATTAGCAGTTTCATCATGTGGCTCTTTACCCATATCTTTTGGCAATTTCACCTTTTGAATAATGATGAGTTTACAGGAGTCGTGTTGGTTTCTGACAGTCTTGTCAGAGGCTCAAATTCTTGCTGAGACAAAAAGTTAAGTGCCATAGTACACATTTACCATCTAGCTTACACTAACAACATATACAAGAATTTCCCTATAACACCACTGGAAACAAATGAAAAGACTTGTAGTTGAACTAACTGACTGCATTAGAAACTGAAGTCTATAACCCATTCCATCCTTTCCTGATCTGGTGCTCTTCTTCAGACAATGTAAAACATTTCCCCAAACCTTGGCTGTTTTAGTGGGGATGATGGAGGGCACCCAGAGGGAACCAAATCATGGAAGGCTAAGTCAGCCCATGACTTACCTGTGAAGGAGTTGTCACATTTATTTCTGGAACAAAGTTGTCATCAAACAAGCTAATAATATTCTCCTGTTGCAGGTCTTTCGTTGGTGTGAGTTTTGGCAGCGGTGGGACAGGTGGCCCTTTCCTCAGCTAAACAAAGACAAGTGCATGCAAGTATATTATAATAAGAACTGATTTAGGATAGTGCTACCCCTCCCCCCCACTTTGCTGGCTGGGAGACCTAGGAATTTCAGCATTTTAAATGAGACAACATGACATCAATGGGATTATAATTAATTATTCCCAATTGTTTTTACCCTAATTAAGGCTAAATCTTGTCCTAATGCACTGAAAAATAATGAACACATAGATGAATGGATTGAAGGAAGTAAGGAAGGGGGGTGGGGGGGAGAAGATCTGACATATATTTCATTTCTGATTAAATTATTTTCTCATTTCCCACCTCACTCCCAAAGGCTACCGTATCTACTACAGAAAAAAGGAGGGGCTAGGAAAGTTCTATTCTTGTGAATTCAATGCAAGGGGAAACTATCATGATCTAGGGCACTATTCTGTAGAGCAATGGTTCTAAACCTGTTGGTTCCCAGATGTTTTGGCCTTCAGCTCACAGAAACCCCAACAGCTGGTAAACTGGGAATTCTGGGAGTTGAAGGCCAAAACACCTGGGGACCCACAGGCTGAGAAACAGTGCTGCAGAGGAACATGGTCTTTTCTTAGTGGAAATTTTCATTTTATCTTATTTTGTTCTTATATGCAAGAATAAAGAATTTCAATTTTCCCATCTTCTCTGTGGAATTTTAAGGGTTCTTTAATGATTTTTGCATCTTATGAATCTATTGTGAAAAAAAAATCAGCACTTCAGTGTAGGTTTTTTTGGGGCAAAAATAATGTTTTGGAGAAGAAATTAGTTATTATGTGGCTGTGTATATATATAATTTTTTTGCACATTATTTGATCAAAAGCTTTTTTTCCCCAGAAATGTTCCAGTTGACCTTATTTTCAACAGGTTTCTTGATGTGTCAAGATAACCTTTCTTTTCAATGCCAAAAGAAATAGTGACTATTTTTATATCCTTCATTTTAATATAAAGGTAAAGGTTTTCCCTTGACATTAAGTCTAGTTGAGCCCAACTCAGGGGGGTGGCGCTCATCTCCATTTCTAAACCGAAGAGCGTTGACCGTAGACACCTCCTAGGTCATATGGCTACATGACTTCATGGAGAACCGTTAGCTTCTGCCGAGGTGGTACCTATTGATCTACTCACATTCGCATCTTTTCGAACTGCTAGGTTGGCAGAAGCTGGGGCTAAGAGCAAGAGCTTACTCTGTTCCACGGATTTGAACCGCAGACCTTCTAGTCAGCAAGTTCTGCAGCTTAGCGGTTTAACCCACTGCATATGAGTTAATATACGTAGCTATTCACATTCTTATCTCTATGGCAATAAAACATGCTCCAGTTGATCAAATTATGTGACCATAATTTTGCTTAGAGAACTAGATGTTTATGTTCCCACAAATGAAAAGAAGATGCCATTTTCTCTCATTCACCCTCTGGAAACTCCCTGAGAATTTGTTGTCAAACTCTGATACACCTTCAAACAGATATAAAATACACTTGATGGGGAACTGTGGAATATTTCCTCTGCCTTTCTGTTTGAGAAATCTTCTGCTGGATTAAATCCTCCTCTGTTCATGGAAAAAGACCTTCCATACACAACAGGGCATCTTCAAATCTGCCCTTCTGAAGATTTTTCCAGCTTAGTTATCTTATTTAGCAAACTAACTTATTTCTGAACAAGATAATGTCTGAAATGACAACATACTTTTATACATGAGATAAAATTTTGACAAAACATCAGCATTAGAGGATGGCAACCCTTTTGACTGAAATAGAATAAATAATTAAAAACTAAGAATGGCAATATTTGACACAAATATACTAGTAGCATATTTTTCACACTCCAGATTTGTTGCAGGATCGAAAATGATTATACACGTTGTCCGGCTCCAGCTACTATCTCCCCAGCTGCAAGGGGCATGCTGTGCCAACACATTTTGTACAGGCTAACAGAGAGCCCATGACAAAAGAAATCAAATCACATTTACCCTGCAGGAAAAGAAATTATATTCTTTTTATATCAAGGCGCTAAAAATAGCTGTGGTAAATCCAGGGCTTGGAATGATGCCAGATGCAGCTGGCAGCCTTTATTTCGGTCGTCAAGAGATTTTACCATAGCAATAGTAAGAGGGCTAAAAGGGTCCTTTATTTTGAAAAGGAATAAAATGGTTGAATGGCCCTTGATGGGGAAAAAGTGTTTCTTTAAAAAAGAACTAGTGTTATAATTCCAGAACCGTACTGGTAAACTCCCCTCTTCCTTTTCTCTTCACCTCTTCTATCTTCCAGCAGCAGAATAGCCCTGATTCTTCCTTATTTTTTCAGTGGTGCTTTGGAAAACTATACCTAGCAATTTTAATCTGTGTATCTTTGTTATATCTATTTTAATAGTTTTTTTTTGTTTTGTCTCACTGTTTTAATCATGCTGTATCCCACATTGAGCAGCAAGGGGAGGAGGGAAATAAATTATTATTATTATTATTATTATTATTATTATTATTATTATTATTATTACATTATTATTATTATTGAACGCAGGGAATCTACTGGCAGATCTCTGGGTGATTTACAGTAGATTAGCAAGAGTTTCTGACCCTGATCTGTTCACTAATAGCCAAATGTCCTTTTCCACCTAAATTAAGGTGCTGAAATGAAGAAAGCTTGGATTAAGTAAGATTGTACTTTTGTGCAAGAGAACCACAAGTTCAGTTCACTTCTGGAACTGAAAACATATTCAGAATGTACTCAGTTGTATCCTGTTCTTTAATTCTGAGTTTATGCCTGTCCATCTGACTGTGGTTGGCAGTTTTTGGGGCAGAGAAGAAAGAGAGAGAAGGTCAGAGAAAGAAGTGGTGAAGCAAGAGACTAATTTGGATGGCAGAAAAAACAAGGCGTCGGAGGCCGCTTAGACACTGGCATACAAAGCAGTTTGAACTGCTATATAATCCAGTTCAACCCAGCCTGGGATGAAGAATAATCAGTTTTACAACAAAATGATATATCACACAATGCCGATCCTTGGGAAACATGAAGATGTATACATTTTTTAGCAACTAAATCCTGTTTCTGGTTGAAGAAGTCATCCATGTGCAAATCCTTATACTGTATTGCAAAGCCCCTATTTCAAATTCACTTCAGTTCCACTAGTCTTGACCAAACACCTTGACCGTACAATGTATATGAAGAGAAAAAAGTATGGTGCAAACTTTGGATAGACAGAAAACTGCTTAAATAACACTAATTATATGTGAATTCCTCCAAATGCAGAGATAAGTTGTTTCAAGCAGCTGCAGCCTTGTTAATCACAGCAGTTTCGAAATAGTTTCCTTTTTTTGCATTTGCATTTTGATTTGCCTGTGAATAGCTTCATTTGAAATACCATATTTAATCTTTACAGTTTGAAGAGGGCATTCTCTAGTGAACATCAAGGTTTTCGATCTACACAATCTGGGATTTCAAGTCTAGGTGTTTTTTTAGAATTAAGATTATTTCATTGTATTTTTTAAATATAACTGAAAGAGAGAAAAGAAAAAGAGAAAAGAGGGGGTAGAAATGCACAGACATATACATTAACAGAAGCTAACCATAATGCCAATCATAAGTTTAATTTAGAGCTGAAATACACATGAATAAATATGACCACTGAATGATAGGCTTGTGCATTTCAGCTGAACCTCAATCTATTTCTGCTGGCTGGTAGACCCCCATATCTGTTTTAGCATGCCTCCTGAAAACGGGTGGGTAGCAGGATAGCTGTTTTCATTCCGCCATTTTCATTCCGCAGCCGAAAAATACAGCTAGATCCAGCCCATTAGCACCAATGGGGAACGTACGAGGCTCCCCTTTCTGTTCCTGGGACCCTTTCCTTTCTTCCTTTCAAGGGAGCCTGGGTTTCAGCAAGGGGGTTAAGGAAGCACCTTTCCTGGGACCATTTCTTTTTTGCCTTTTAAGGAGCCTGAGTTTCAGCAACAGGGTGAAGGAAGTAGACACAGCTTGCGTAAGACATGTCACAGTGTTCTTCTACTCCAATTAGCCCAACAGACAGGGCTCACAGGGAAACCCCATGTGAGGAAGACCACATGGCAACCTCTTTGCATTCCACGTGCTCCCAAAAAGGGGAGAAGGAGCTGTGATTGGCTGCCATGTGGTCCCATTATGGATGGGAAACACTGATGGCTGGGGCCTTGCTGTTACAGCCATCTGACCAAGCCGAAGAAGCCAGACTGGCTGAAGGAAAACTGCTAAAATGGACTTGTGCACAAGTCTATTGAATGATGTTGGATAGTGAATATTTGTCATTCTAACCCTGAAATATGCATAATTTAGATACTGGAAGATCACATGAAACTATAATTTATAATCTGAAACTATAATCTAAAAGTACCCCCTAAGCATTTACAAACAGAAGCTTTTTCTAATACAAAATTAATGTTTCCTATAAGAGAGGTGGTAATAAATAATAATAATAATAATAATAATAATAATAATAATAATAAGTATTTATAACCTGCCCTATCTCCCCCAAGGGACTTAAATAAAAGTAGCAAACATTGAATGCCATAATAATGAAACAAACAAACCAAATCGAGACAATACATAAAACAACTTCTGGAAAAACTTGTAATAACTAGCCAAAAAATAAGTAATTAAATAATTAAATAAAACATAAGAAATCTAATCAGGCACATTTATACCATAATAAAATCTAAACAACTAAAAGGTACAAAATTATAAAATAATATGCAGAGCCTGCAAGGCCAGGGTGGCTTGCCAGCATCCAGGTGAGGTTTTATCTTAAGGTGTTCTAATCCTCCTTCTGCATTATCACAGACCAGGTAGAATCCTGCATTATCCCAGACCATGCTCCAAGTGGAACATGAAGCTAACTTATCCATCTGAATCTAAAAGATACGGCAAGGATAATCAGGAAATAAATATATAATGAATTAATTATGAGGAACAATGTAGAAAAAAAACATTAGCAGTGCTCTATCCTTTTTATTTCCTAGATATATTTTTAAAAATCAAGATACGTTTTATGAAGGCCCTTCACATGAGACATGATTCAGGAACTGTATCTACTGTATATCAGGTATTGTATCTACTGTATATCAAAGATAACCTAAACCAAAATTCAAACTGTAACACGGATATCTCAAAATTTTCCCCTAATTCTGCTAGTCTTACCTGCGAGGGAGATTTAGGCCGTGCTGGTGCTGGAGAAGATGGTGCTGCCAGAGTATGATTCGGACTTGCTTCTGGACTCAGTGGAGGTGATTCCTCATCAGGTGGGGATGGAGTTTTTGCAATGCGTAGTGGACCGGAGTCACTAGTGAATTGAGAAAATGCCATTTTATAATACATTAAAAAGTGGTTTTCCTATATCAAATTGCATTTCAGCATCCACAACATTTCAATGTTTGTAGATTTACAACTAAGGAGGATGCATTTATGTTTTATGCAGGACAGATTAAATCCTGGTGACCAAATATTTATTTGACAGCAATTTTGTTCTTTGAATGATAAAAATGATCATTTTCTAGGCCATCTCATAATCTTTTCACTCATATTTTTTCACCTAAAGACACAGTGCTGTATATGAAGTAATCCTAATAAAAAACATACATTGTTTCACATGGCTGAATCCTTGTTAGTTAAGAATATGGATATATAAAATGCTTGCTTGGTTTACATTTAAAATGTAGAGCATCAGCATTGCCAGAATGAATTTTGCGAATTACCCAAAGAGATAATTTCCCCCCACTTTTCATGATATACAATCAACTGAAGTGACTAACAGTATTTAACTCCATGCATTTTTGAGCTTTCATTTCCATATTTTAAATTATCTGTGTATATAATAAAAGTGAAAACGTGTATGTATGTTTGTATCTATTTATGTATCTATGTTTGTATGTATTTTCCAGGATGGACCTGACATCTAGAGAGCACTGTGAACTGCACTGATGATGGATCTGGACCAAACTTGGATGCACATACCCAACATGACCATCTTAAAATATTGGTTGGGTTTGGGGGAGATTTATATAGGATACTGGGAGTTGTAGTCCACCCACATCGATGAACTCTACTGATGATGGATCTGGATCAAATTTGGCACACATGCCCATCAAGACCAACTTTAAATACTGACAGGGTTTGGGGGAATTGACCCAGGATGATGGGAGTTGTAGCCCACCCACATCCAGAGAGTACTATGAGCCCCATCTATGATGGACCTGGACCAAACTTGGCACACATAACCATCATAATCCAATTTAAAATACTGGCAAGGTTTCAGGAGGCATTGAGGGAGGATGATGGGAGCCCCATGTGTGTCCTACATCCAGAGAGCCACATGTGTCTCTATTTATAAATTCCAAAACCAAACTATTATTTCTAATATTTATCATTACAAAATACCAAACCCAGGCATTGCTGGTTACATAATAAGCTAGTTAATTATAATAATTAGTGTTTGTGTGTCCATACACATCTCTTTCTTTCATGTTTGCCCTAATCATCATGTATATTTACTTACAATACATATCTCACTGCTATCATATGCAAAATACTAAAAGAAGAATTTATTCAACAATAGAACCTATTAAAAACATTGGACAAAATCCACAGCCTTGATTTATTTTCTAAACAAATACTGCTGATTAATGGAAACTGGGAAATTCAGCATCTAGAAACCATTTTGCTGTCTAAGAACAACTAAGATCTATGATTCAAATAAACAACAGCAGTGATTTTTTGAAAAGGTTTGTGTCTATAAAGCATCCTAAACCAAAAGATGAGACTTGGGCTTCGGTATCATATGGAAAACTAAAAGAGAGGCATGATTGAGTAGACATCAATCATGTTCAACACTAAAGCAAAACAGCTATTTTAAAATTGGGAGACATCTTAATGATCACTCACCACCTCTTTCTGTAGAAATATTTTTTTAAGAAAGAAAGGAGACATTAATACATTCTTTCCCTTCTGTTCTATTTCACTACAACTATTTGAGAGAAGATACAAAATTTGAGAATCTGCTTAAAACATGGTATAGAGATGCTGGTCTCTGGCCCTTATGGAAAAGCTATGTACTTGTATGAAAATTTATTATATGCAAAATAATTACATATGTCCATACATTTCACACAGTAAAGTATGGCAAGACTGACTTCCTAATAGTTAAATACTGTAATCCGGGTGATGCTGAAGGATATTGTGTTCTCTGCACTCCTTCTTGTGCTAATTCTATGTATCTTGTGGGGATTATTTATACATGATGCAATGCATATCAATATTAACTGTATGAATTCTTATATCAATAATTATTTTTAAATGTTTTTAAAAGACACATTTAAAAGACTTTCTTAAACATGCCTTCTTATCTGCCTTTCAGCATACCCTTCACTTAGACTTTACATTGTTGCTTTGGTGTTAGGGATAAGGGAATAAAATTATTTCGGATATACACACATAAAATGCCATTTAATTTGAGAGCAAAACTGTAGACCCTATCATTGGTGGCCTAGGATTGTAGTAATATGCAATATAATAAACAATGGTTTACCTAGGGGCTCCAAGTATGGTGAAGGCTTTGTCAGCGTGCTGGTCTCCAAGTTTTGTCATCACCTCATAAAGTTTGTGGCATAGCTGGGGATAAAAAGGTATTTTAATAATGTCATCTGAGAGGAAATACATATCTAAATCACATGTTTCCTCCATAAGGGGACCAAGAAGAACCACATTTTTTAAAATGGCACATTATCAGAGTCAAACACATCACACATAATCTGCAAAGTTCCATATATAATACTGTCGTTCTTCAATTCTAAGACCCATACCCTTACCCCCATACAAACCTGTCTCGAAATGGGGTGTGTTTTAGAATTGCAGGTAGGATGTGACATTTACGATGGCTGTCAGGACAATGTATTCTGTTCCTGCCCCAGGATTTAGGCTTTCTCCCACCTTAGTTAACTTGGGGCAAGGTTGCATTAAGGTGCTTTTGTGCCAGGTTACCCCAGATTAGCCCTCTCCAGCATATAGCCACCACTTAGCTGATCCACATCTGCACTGACCTAAATGATTAGCATAGATGTGCCCAAAGTCTAATTTGTAAATATAACATGTGCATAAAGACAATCATGCACCCAAGTTGTCCATGTGTGTCCTACCTAGAGATGGGAAGGCCTGGGAAAAAAATCAGAAAAATGGGGGGGGGGGGGGGAACAGTTTTTCATCACAATAACCCTAAAAATGAAGGAAAGGGAGCCTTAGGAGTTCTCCCATTGCCGCCAATGGGCCAGATCTTCCCAGAGTGAAAATAGATCTTTGAACTATAGGATCAGAAAATAGCATATTTCTCTCTCAAATTTGGGAAGCTCTTGAAAAATGGAGCAGGGGTGCACCAAAATCTGGATACAAAAAATAGTACAGGGTTTACCCGAATTGCACACTCCTAATGCTTACTATTGCAACCAAAATGCTGATTCAATCTTAGGCATGAAAAGACAAACAAAATGATTCACCAACAGAAAGTCTTGCTAAAACCTCAGACTACAATTTGCCCAGGGGTGGTGACTGCCTGTAGTTTCATTCAGTAGAGTTAAGTATAGCGAGAAATAAGCATTTTGATAAGGGAAAGGAAAAACATCCAGTAAAACTTACATGTTTACATTTTTGCATCTGGATTTTTTTTAATTCCAACTACCAACATCCCGCCTCCCCCCCCCCCCCCCCCCCCCCCCCCACTCCGCCCCAGCTTCACTTTTACTCACCAAAGTGATTTCTTTGTGAAATTTGGCTTCAAGGCTAGATATATTTTTGAATGTGGTCACATAAAAGCCAACTCGCCTAAACAGGAATGGGAAGGCAGAGATGAAAATGTTGTGAAGAGAAAGGCAAAAAATGAAACATGCTTTTTCCTTTAAAAATTGAATCAAACTATTATTTTCCCATATGCCGTTTATGGGAAATTATTCTCCATTTAAGCACATGCACTGTGTTAATTCTAGAAATGGAAAGGGGGATGTTGCAGACATTACAACAACAGACCCACCCTCTGCAAAGAGAGGTCCCTCCTCTTTAAACACGCCCATAATAGCATCACAACTACTTCATGTACTCCACAAGTGATTGGATGACAAAATACATGTCAATCACTTGACCAAGCAAATTCAAGATTTAGTCCTGGGTCTTCATAATCCAAATTTTGGGGATCAGCCTATAAGAATCCAAAGTCCTACATGGATGCTATATTGTATTTGAGGGGCTCCTTTTGGTTCCCAAAAGATTCAATTTCTTGAAACATTTTATTTTAGGATTAGATGTGGCATATCTCAATGACATGGCTCACATTGTTAAGGCATACCAACTTTTCAAGGCACTGTGAAAATGTGAAGTACATCACTGCATTTACCTTGACCATAAAGATGGCAGCTCTTCTTGCAAATCAGTATTAAAATCTTCAAATACTTTCTGTGCTTTCTGAAACTCTTCTTCGGCCTAGAACAAAACACACAGACAAGCACTTATTTGGAAACTGCAGGAACATATGATTTCAGGTGGGTCTTTTCAGGTAAATTTTCTCAAGTCTAGCTAGGAAGTATGAAGATAGGAGATAAACTGGTTCTTTAATTAATTACTGTCCCTCAAATTCCAACTGCTATTGGGATTGCAGTGTACACATAGAGAATGTTTATCTTTCCTTCACTAAAATTGATCTCACAAACACAATTGCTAATGGAAACATTTTTACTAAGTCTTGTAGCTGTGAGTACACCTGTGAGCTGTCATGCAGAGTGGCAGCAGTGGAGAACTGAGGTGCAAGAAGGGGATAAATTTCCTTTTTCCCAATCACAGAAGACCCAATGCAAGATATGCCCTATTCCACTGCTTCTTAAACTATGGTCCCAGCCACTTAGCTCAATGCTGGGGTCACGAAAAAAGGTGTAGCATGTCACTTAGTGGCTATTTTACATATTTACACAAATCAGGGGCACTTGAGGTATTGTATAGTACTGCATAGTTCTAGGGGTTTGTGGGTTGTGGGATACAGGCAGTCCCCGAGTTACAAACATCTGACTTATAAACAACACATACTTAGGAACAAGAGTGAGACAATATGAAGTGAGAGAAATCTACCCCTTGGAAAGGAAATTCACTCCCGGAAGAGGAATCGTGGGGGAAAGGTGTGTCTCTACTATAGATTTATCACCATTCATTCCTTGTTTCTACAACAAGCCAATTTTTTCAAAATCCAATTCTCACAGGGACAGAAAGTGAGGTGAAATCTTCTAAACAGGGGCAAAGACATCAAAACAAACACCACAGGAATGTTAACTCTTCTTTATGCAATCCAAACCTATATATATTAGGGCTGTTGCATGGCTCCATTTTTCAAAACGGGTTCCTGCTCTTTTGGCACTTTTGGCCAGCCGTAACGGCACAGGTGCTGCCGCCATTTTTTTTGACAGCAACAGACCACATGGCTGTCAAAAATGGCTGCCTCTGGTTTCCTTTGGCTAATGTGAGTGCTCATTGGCCACATGTGAGTGCTGCACACTGATGCCATGAGCCCTGCTGTCCGCTGGAGCCAATCAGGAGAAAAAAGACACTCGTGTGCTCCATGTTCTATTTCAGTGCTTTTGCTGCTCTTAGCATCTTGCTTTTGGACACAATTCCAATATTTTCCTTTTGCAATTTTATTTATGGACTGTGAAAGGGCATTTGGGGGGGGGGGGCACTGTTTAAATATTGCTTTGGTTTACTGAATGGAGGGGAAAGCCTGACTCCCTTGAGTCCCCACGCTGAGATTTCAATTCCTCCCCAGGTCTAGTTGAAAGATATTAGAGGAAAGGATCCCAGAAAAAGTGTTTTTTTCAAGCCTGATGTCTTAACTCAGATCTAGCTGAAGGAGATTAAATAAAAACATACCAGAAACAGTCATTTCTTAAGCCTGATGCCTTAACTCAGATCTAGATGAAGGAGATTAAAGAAAAGGGCGCCAGAAGCAGTGGTTTCTTAAACCTGATGCCTTAACTCTGATCTAGCTGAAGGAGATGAAAGGAAAGGATGCCCAGAAACAGTGGTTTCTTAAGCCTGATGCCTTAACCCAGAGCTAGCTGAAAGGGATTAAAGGAAAGGATGCCAAAAACAGTGGTTTCTAAAACTGATGAAAGGGATGCTTTATAAATTCCCCATTGCCGCCAATGGGATGGATTTTCCTGGATCTTTTGGGTGCCAACAAAAAAATGGGTTTTGCCCAGCTGAATTCAGGAGGCTCCCAAAAAATAGATTGGGGGACCACCGAAATCCAGACATGGAATACAGCATGGGTTTATCATAATAATAATAATACTTTATTTGTACCCTGCTACCATCTCCCCAAGGGATTCGGTGCGGCTTACATGAGGCCGAGCCCACAATACAACAACAAAAACAATAGCAATAGTAATCCAAACAATAAAGAAACTCATAAACAGAAAATAGCAATAAACATTAACAATAACACAGCGACATTTAACCAAATTGCACAGCACATACTGTATATGCGTGCATGTTTGTGTGTGAGAGTTTGCTGAAGTTAACACTTACAAAATGCACCTGTTCTGACTTACATACAAATTCAACTTAAGAACAAACCTACAGAACCTATCTTGTTCGTAACTTGGGGACTGAGTTGCCTAAGGGCTGAGAAGAGCGGTATACAAATAAAGTAAGTAAATAAATAATAAATATATTTCCATGTTTTGATATAAATGAAGGCTTGCTAGACAATCTGAAAAATCATGCCTCAATTTAAAAAAAATGGAGGGGGATTTTAAGGAACTGATCTGGGTCCCAAAGGCCCCCACTTTGCCCACCCCTGTTTAAACTGAATCAAGGTCAGAACTGGATTCCTATAAAAGAAAAAAAATCAGGAAGGTCAGATAGGAACACCAACATTCACATCTTCTAAGGATGTCCAATTAAAGCCTGTCTTAAGTTAAACTCTAAGCAAATCTCACAGAGTGATGTTTTTACTGCAGGAAAACAATAATAAAAAGCAGCTGTAACAAGCACCGGATAGAGTATAATTTCACTCATACCCAACAATTCCAAAGATGGTCATAATCTGAAAAAACACCTTACCTTGGTAATTCTGCCTTCGTCTTTTCTTTTTGAACTCTGCAAAGCTTCCAAGTGATGCCTTGCACTGTCATAGTCCACCAGTTTCCTGCTCCGCTTTGCAATACGATTCTGAAAATGGTGAGACTCAAATCAAAACTCACAGTTCTTCTTGTGCATTCAAATTTAGTATCGCTTTTAAGTTTCTGGAATTATTTTTTCTTAAAAATATTTCTACCTATATTCCCTTTCTCTTACCACTGTTTTCTTTTGTTTTGTTCTGTTAGAAATGTAATACAATGGTATGGTTGCTGATGACACGATAAATAAAAACCACTGAACTATTAAGAATTGTCTAGTAAAACTTCATTAGCTTTAATTCTTTTTTAAACACAGAAACTCATTGTTAAAGAAGAATTTCAAACCTCGTATACGTTTCTTTCATGAATATTTGAAAGGCCAGGTTTCTACATTTCATAACAAATTCACTGAATACATTTTTTTTAAATAAAAACAACAACTTCAAAACTATTCTTGAGAGACAGAAAGCAGATAATTCTGTGCTAGGCATATTTGGGGAAATCCTAACAGTATCTTCAACACTGGAGCAAAAATAATTAAATTCTAATTTTCACATGTGATTGTAGTTTGGTAAATTAATAAAAGTAGGCTGCCACAGTTCCCAATGGGTCTCTTATTAAAATGACCCATGACCTGTTTTGCATGTATCAAGATTTAATTACAGCAGAGCATTTCAAGATTTTGCTTTGTAATTTTTTTAATTTTTTCTCTTCTAGTGTGCTTTCAACTTGACTCCTCTTACAATATTATTAGGAGTCTTAGCAGTAATATAATCAGCACCATCTCTTTTGATAGAAGAAAACCAATATAACAAATTAAATAAAAATATAAAGGGCATAAAGGAGAACAAAACAAAAGAAGTCAGAAAGTGAACTAAAAAACAACGGCTGCAAAATTTCAGCAAACAGGGAAAAGAAATTGAACATTTAAATACGACCTTGAATGTATTTTAATCATGTTATTGTGTTAGTAATTTTAATCTAAATCATTTTAAGTGAATTTTGTATGTTTGAGGCACTGTGTAGGTGCCATTTGTAAGCAGCATTGAGTCTCTCTTGGGTGGAGATAAGGCAGGATATAAATAAGGTAAATAAATAAATAAATAAATAAATAACTAGGAATGTTTCCTACACCTGAACAAGGTCTTGGTTGAAACAGGAGAGTTTACAAGGAAGGCCAGTAACCCAACTAAAAATCCATGTACACCAGTCTATACGTCAGAGGAACATATTGGCCAGAACTGACATAGATGTCAGGGCAATCCTTATTTGGCTTGACTGACCAATGTTTGAAAGCAATCCCAGTAGGTCAAATATCTGACACATCTGTTTCCTAGCACCCATTTTTCAATCCAAGAAAGCCCTTTCAGAAAACTTTCAAAACGTGAGGAACTTAAAATAGTGCTATTCAAGATAGCTCTTGCTTATTATATCCTGCATTAAAGAAGCAACATCCTGTAATACAGATTTTGATTTGCCATAAGCAGTGAGACTAAAATTCAAAACAATGACAATAACATTGTCAAAGGCTTTCATGGCCAGAATCACTGGGTTGCTATGTGTTTTCCAGGCAGTATGGCCATGTTCCAAAAGCATTCTCTCCTGACGTTTCACCTACATCTATGGCAGCCATCCTCAGATGTTGACGGGTCTGTTGGAAACTACATTCCATAGATATATAAACCTTACTTCTTTAGTTTCCAACAGATCCCTCAACCTCTGAGGATGTCTGCCACAGATGTGGGTGAAATGTCAGGAGATAATGCTTCTGGAACATGGCCATACAGCCTGGAAAACACACAGCAACCCAATGACAATAACAATATAAAAATGCCAGATGGCTTCATGTTTGATCTGGATCATGTTTTTGAAATGATGTTATAGCTCAAGTGATATGTAGCATGGCATTAATGGACCAAAAGATAATTTATTTATTTTTAAATAATCTTTATTGCTTTTCTTAAAATATACAGGTATACAAATAGATAGTGCTGGAAACTTTTAAACTTATAAAAGTTTCTCACTGTATAGGGAGAGAGAGAGAAAAGGAGGGGAAAAGGGGGGGGGGAAAGAGGGGATGAAGATAAAGATATAGTAGGGGGTGTCTAGTTTATCTTTAAGCCAATTCAGTTTCCTGTTATTTTGGGTTGGACCAAAAGATAATTTTGAGCTATTTGGTTGGGGTCCACAGAGAGAGAAACATAGAGCTTTCCTTCTATCTTTTCCAACATGGAAGGATAACAGCTATTGAGCAAATGCATACTAATGGATATGCATACATATGATACACATCATGCTATATGTACATGATACTCTGATCTCTTAAGTACAATATTTCTGTTTCCATTGCCGACAATATACGCTAATATATACTGAGACATCACGGTACCTTTATATCGGGAAACTGTCCCAGATATGTATCCAAGGTCAATAATGATCCATCTACCAACTTTTGATGGAAATCTTCCCAAAGCACATCACATTTCTAAGAAGAAAAATAAGAGAAAGTACAGTAACAATGTAGACTAAAATCAAAACAAATGAAAACCATCACTCAAATCAGCCATATTTACTTGGAAGTAAGGATTTTTACCTGACAAAAATATACAACACAATATTTGATCATATGGGACCAGTGTAGACACATTGAATCAACAGGACTTATGTAAACAGTGACTTAAGAAATCATGTAGACTAAACAAGTACACTCTAGTATTGTGAAATTGGATTTATCCCTTTGATTTGAAAGAATTTAGTGTAATTTTACTGTCGCCCAGAGAACCTTTTCATCAACTGCCCCACAACTGTGGAATAATCTGCTGGAAGAGCTCTGGAACATAAATTCCAATTGAAGTCTCATCTCTTTCGGCAGCCTACTCAGTCAACTTTCAATTATGAGTTTTGATTTACATTCTATTGCTCCTTTGGTTAAACCTGTATCCTGTGTTTGGGGTGTGGGTTTTTTTTTATTACATTGGTGTGTTTTATCTATGTATTTTATTGTGTGTATTTTATGTTCCTATGTTTTGATATTTTATCCCACCTTGAGCTGTCAGGAGAAGCAGGTAATAAATAAAATGATGATGATGATGATTTTTTTTTAAAAAAAATCTAATGCTTAAAATGTTTCATTGAGTGCTTTTTGGTGTGGTTTGGTGGAGAATCTGGTTATTGCTGCTTAAAATTGACGTAATGACAGTAGCAGTAAGAATTCTCTAGAGTTTTTTAATTTTCTAGCCAAGCACAGACCTTAATATTCACTACATTTAACCATAATTTGAATAATCCTGATCTATCCATGTATTCTCCTTTTGCCACTCAAGAAAAGGGATGCATATTGGGCATGCTTGTTGTTCAGATGAACAGTTATATTTTGAACTGGAAATTATACTCCAATTGTTCCAATTTGAGAGGATCTACCAAAAATCTAGCACGTTGGACAGGGGTCCTCAAACTAAGGCCAGGGGGGCGGATGTGGCCCTCCAAGGTCATTTACCCGGCCCTCGCTCAGGGTCAACCTAAATCTGAAATGACTCGAAAGCACACAACAACAACAACAACAATCCTATCTCATTAGCCAAAAGTAGGCCCACACTTCTCATTGAAATACTAATACATTTATATTTGTTAAATCTGTTCTTCATTTTAATCATTGTATTATTTTTAAGTGTCTTTTGCACTACAAATAAGATATGTGCAGTGTTCATAAGAATTCATTCATATTTTTTTTTCAAATTATAATCCGGCCCTCCACCAATTTGAGGGACTGTGACCTGGCCCTTTGTTTAAAAGGTTTGAGGACCCCTGACGTTGGAGATTTGCTGCCCAAATAATAAGCAAGATAATGGCCAATGTGGTATGGACTAATTCCTGGGTTATGACTAGGTTTTGCCTGTATACTCAAAGAATCCAGAATGGCAACAAACTGAGCTTGGGAACTCTGTGCAAAACTAGTGCAGACTCCCAAACCATGCTAGCCTCACACTCTCTCAACACATGAGCTTCAAAGCATGGTGTTTCCTTGCCAGGTTTCCTTTTCCAAACTGCTCTGCATTCTGGAGCCAATCCAGACTTCATCTAGAGCACACATTTCAAACGCAAGGCCCGTGGGCCAAATCCAACCCTCCATGGCATCTTATGTGGCCCACAAGGCTTTCAATGCCAAGGCAACACACTTTATAATTATAACTGGCCTTTTAAAGGAACAATTAGGATGATGCAGCCCTTGGTGAAGATGAGTTTGACACTCCGTATCTAAAGCAATCTTTTTTTCATAACATGAAGCAGATCTCTTCTTTTTCCAAGGGCTCCATGCAAAACCAAATTTTGCATATGAACATATTTCTGTATACACTTCTCTCCTTCCCACTTTCTGGGAAAGCATGTTAAATATATTAAAGCAAATGGTATATGCTATTATAGAGCATTTTATCTTCAGCATAAGAGATCTAAGATCAAACACTATAATTTGGAACAGTATTTTATTTTACAAAGGAAGTCGAATTTTCCATTTGTCACTGTGAATTTGGATTTGAGCTCCTGTCACTTCACTAGATAAACAAGGCTATTGTCAGCATAAGCTGTTGCACAGTCCTTTGTGAACCCCTTTGGAAATGCTCACTGACACTCTTTTGCCCTCAAACCTTCAAAGCAGGGGCTGCTGCAGTGATGCAGAAGGCACAACAGGACTGTGTCACACCAGATTAAAACCACATTTCCAATTAAATTTAAAATCACAGATGATGCTCCAGTGCAAGGCCATTCTCTAAGTCACTTCAAAAATTATAAATACATGTGCCTACTCTGCTCAGGGATTATGGAAACTGAAACTGGTAATGTGATTGGAGTGTGATGGATCCCAAAAGGCAGTACTGGTGCCCTCAGTTTGCCTGTAAACTAGAAATAAGCAGAGAGAAAAGCCAGATCCAAATTTCTACTCAGCAATGAAATTTATACAGGGATTTTAGGCTCTATCACTCCCTAGCAACTTAACCTACCTTAACATATATATTTTCGTAAAGATGAAATAGGTGGGTAAGAACTGTGCATGCCACTCTTCATCTAGGCCAAAGGCACAGTATGTGTTTATGTGTGTGCCTTCAATTTGTCTGTTGACTTATGGTAACCCTATGGATCTCATAGGGTTTTCTCAGGCAAGGAATATTCAGAGGGAGTTTATCATTTCCTTCCTCTGAAATACAGCCTACAGCAGGGCTGCTTAAACTTTTCACGTGACCCCAGGTATAGGTATATATCTGTATCTATACCTATAAAAGTATGTCTGTTTGTCCATCTGCCTTTCTTTCTGTCTGTACTACAAAAGCTGTTGGCCCTCTGCAATATCAATGGATTGGCTGTTGCCCTTTGTGATGTCATTGGGAAAGAAAGGTAACATATGTATACACATATAATCTAGTACAGTCATTTCACTTCACTCCCTTTGTATCCCAGTCGCATCACAGAGGTCCACTTCATCTAAAAGCAGCAGTAAATTTTGTTCCTTTTCTTTTCCTCTAATCTGGACTCAAAGGGGTGAGTTTTTCAAAAATATTTCAAACCTCTCAATTATACATTGGATAATGAAGTACAAACTTTTTCATTATAAAGCTTATGTTTTAAGTTAAACGGCTGCAGTAAAATCAAGACTGAAGATGAAAAAATGATACCTTTAACTTTAATAAGTTATCTACCTTTGTCCCTGCCCTGAGTTTAGGAGAAGAGAAAATATCGGTATGGATTTCGCATCTACCCCAGCAAAACCACTTCTTTCCCTTTCCCTTTCTCTGTTCTTTATCATCTTATTTTCTTATCCTCCCTTTTTCTTCATCTGACTGATTCCCATATGGATCCTACCAAAATTCTTAGAAACAAGAATATCAAACTTCACTTTTCTGAGATAGAGGTAGAGTTCCTATCTGATGCCTGGTGAGGAATGCCAGAAGACCACGTGGGTAAAACGAAGACCTTTCAAAGCTGCCTTGAATATTTGCTTGTGTAAATCGATTAAACCTTGAAATTAATTAAACTATCATAGTATAATCGGGAACAAGAATAAGCAAGGATCCCTATAGCCATCTGAAGTCATTAGAGAACAAGCTGTGAAATGTACAATTCATTTAGCATAGTATTTCATTTAATGGATTATTTAAGAACTTAATTCATCCCATAATTCAGCAATTAGGTTAATGCTGAAAGCCCAACTGAATCATATCAAGTTTAAGAAATTAATTTAATTAAGTTATTCCATTTTGCTTTAAAGAGAGGTCAAATCTAATGGTTATTTTAATTGATTTTAATTAGTTCCTATAATGGTATATATATTTAATTCAAAATTTCTTGGAGTAGGCATGGGTTTATGAGAATTATAATGCAAAAAAGTAACTTGCTATGGCCCACATGGGGGTTCTGTGTGGGAGGTTTGGCCCAAGTCTATCGTTGGTGGGGTTCACAATGCTCTGTGATTGTAGGTGAACTATAAATCCCAGCAACAACAAGTGCCAAATGTCAAGATTCTATTTTCTCCAAACTCCACCAGTGTTCACATTTGGGCATATAGAGTATTCGTGTAGAGTTTGGTCCAGATCCATAATTGTTTGAGTCCACAGTGATCTCTGGATGTAGGTGAACTACAACTCCAAAACCAAAGGACACTGCCCACCAAACCATTCCAGTATTTTCTGTTGGTCATGGGAGAACTGTGTGCCAATGTTTGGTTCAGTTCCAGCATTGGTGGGGTTCAGAATGCTCTTTGATTGTAGGTGAACTATAAATCCCATAAACTACAACTCCCAAGTGACAAAATCATTTTTTTAGTGAAGGACATACATTGGGTTGTTAGGTGTCTTGTGTTCAGATTTGGTGTCAATTCGTCCAGTGGGTTTTGAGTTCTGTTAATCCCACAAATGAACATTACATTTTTATTTATATAGATAATTTCTAGGCTCTTGAATTTCCTTATGTGGGATGTCTGTCAGGCTTTTCATGGTCTGGAAGAGGAAGTTTGCTTTAAAATTTACTTTTGAGGATACAGAACATCTTTTTTATTTTAGTTACCGTTATGGATTTTTCCTGGTTCTATATATCATTGTTAATCATGGGTAAGTGAAATTAGTAGTATAGTGACTTAAATTTAAAAAAAAATCTTACCTCTCCAACCGTTTTTACATCTTCCCGGCCGTACCATTCAGGCTCATATACCTCATGGAGAGACTCTGTAAGCTTCTTTGATGCATCCTGCATGCCTAGAATGTATGGACACAAAGAGCCCATTGTTGACAACTGGTTCTGTCATAAATGAATTACCATTTCATTGAATTTTACAACTATCATTTGTGAAGTCATCATTTCAGAAGGTTGGGCAGAAGAAGGTTAAGAGCAGGGTTCTCTTACTGTCTCTGATAGGATCAGATGCCTTTGGCCCTCCCTCAGCTTTCCCTCAGCCATTCCAGCAGGTACGTGAACTGCTTTAATCAGAATAATCACTACAGGCAGTCCCTGAGTTAAGAACATCCAACTTATATACCACTCATAGTTAGGAAGGGACCTCTCCTTCCCTGCCACAAAATCTTAATGCTGAGCCAAAGTGTGGCTGTATCTCTCCCCATCCCTTTCCATTGGTCCCTGCTTCAATCTCTCCCCATTCCTTTCAATTGCTCCCTGTTTCGAACTCTCCCCATTCCTTTCCATTGCTGTTTTATGTCAGCTTGTTCAGCCTGTGATTGTGTCTGATGTTCATGCAGATGCTCCTGAAGGGAAAGATGTTCCTGATGGGATTGGGGATGAGGGTTTGTTTGGGCCTGAGTTAAGTTCAGAACAGAGGCCTGCGCTGTTTCAGGAAGATTCACAAGTCCACATTTCTGGGAGAGAACTTTCACCACGTTTTTCAGAGCAACTGTCTGAAAATGCTGCTGAGAGTGATTTCCCAGGTGCAGAAGTTAATGAGGGAGGTAATGAAGGAGAGGATAGTGAAACCCTGGAAAGTGAAGTTATAGTAAACAGTGGCAGAGCTTTTAGAGACTGAGACGATCACTTCGTCTATAGGAAAAGAAAGATAGCAAACCATTATCTAGCGGGAAGGTCAAGAAAAATGCTTTCTTTTCAGTTTTGGGTTCTGGAAAGGTTTATAATAATTCATGGGAGTGAGTTGCCTCAGTTGAGGCAACATTGCTATTTTATTCCGGTCTGGCTTTCAAGTGCTCTGAGTTTCATGTACCAAGTTTTTGCCAAGTTTAAGTTTTGCCTATAGGATTTTCCTGCTGTTTTGTTTCATGGTGTCAAGTGCCTTGCTTCATGGATTTCTATATACTCATGGAACTTGTTCCCCTTTGAAGCTTATGAACTTTGTCTACATATATTCTACAACTAACTGCTTGCTGATTTTACCAAGCTGATACGGTATTTAAGGTCAGAGGTGTTCCTGCTCTGGTGTATGACAATTGCTCCCTGTTTCAATCTTCCCTCACTTCCTTTCATTGCTTCATGCCCGGCTTTTCCCTTCTGATCTGACACCATTTTAATTGCTATGGTTCAATGCTATGCAATCCTGGGATTTGTAGTTTGGTGAGGCAGCAGCATTTTTTGGCAGAGAAGGCTAAATACCTTGTAAAACTACAGCCCCCATGATTCCATAGCATTGAACTACGGCAATTAAAGTGGTGTCAAGTTGCATTCATTCTACAGGACTGATGCACCTGAAGGAAGCAGAAGTGGGATAAGCAGATGAACGAATAAGCAACAACAGTATCATCAGAACAAAAAGACTCAGGGATTTGCATAACATCTGCATGTGCATAAATGCACATTTAGAAATAACTACAGAGTTGTTCCTTATATCCACGGATTCAATAGTCACAGTTTCAATTGTCCCTGCTCCAAAAAATATTTTATCCATGGAAGTGTTTTAGAGCTTCTCTAGGTCCAGTGTGATTATATGGTATGCTTCTGGCTCCAAGTATAGTCGAAATACAGGGTTTGTTATCATCCATAGTTTCAGGTATTGACAGGGAGTCTTGGAACCTATTTATTTATTTATTTATTTAT